AAGTTTATCAACGTGTAATTTATTATTAAAGACAAAAAAGAATAAATAGATAAATGAAAAAGAATAATTGGATAAAAGAAATGGAGATAGTAAAGAAGAGAGAGGTAGCTCCATAAATACATTAATAACTAATTTTTTGTTTGTAAAAAAGTTGTCCAACTTGGCAAATTGTGGATCCTCCAAGTGCTTATGTGGCAAGAATTTTTTTTTGAATTACCATAATATATAGTATAGATAGATAGATTAGTGTGCACCTGACCACCAAAAAAAATTAACCGATGCATATGATGTGAATGATTTTTTTATTCAACAGAAACACACTGGTTACCTTGTATCAAAATTGAACTTACAAGCAATGTTAAGCCACCAAAACATCTCAAGTGACCTACCCAACTCAAAAGTGACATTATTATGCACTTTCTGTGAGGAGATAGGGGCAAATCGAAAGACTGTAGTTTCTCCAAGTAGTAAAGCATCAATGGTCGTTTTGTGCAAATCAATTTCGCATTTCTCCTTTTTGTTTTTTGATGAATTTCCCCCTTTTTGTTTCCCTCCAACTGACGGTAGCTTTTTCGCTATCACATTGGCAGGATCTTCTTTCCGTTTCCTCCATTATTCTTCTGCTAATGGGTTTGTCGAAGTTCACTCTCCAGAACACGAAATTGTGATTGCTTTGGGAAGTAATGTTGGTGACAGGGTTCGTAATTCATAAGCAAACCATAAACTTTCCAATATAGTCCACAAACACGGTAAAAAAAGCACACCAGAAACCTTCCAATGCATACCATAAATCACCTAAAATAAACCAGAAACTTCACAAATCAAACTACAAATATTTCATAATCACACCAGAAATCTCATAATCCAAACCACAAACACCGTAAAGCAAATCATAAAAAGTAAACCAGAAACCTCCTAATGCATACCACAAATCTCCTAAAACAAACCACAAACCTCACAAAGCAAACCACAACATTTGCGAAAGCACACTAGAAACCTCATAATGCAAACCACAAACACAGTAAATCAAACCACAAAAAACAAACCATAAACGTCCTAATGCAAACCACAAATATATTAAAACAAACCAAAAACCTCACAATGCATACCACAAAGTTTTTGAAAGCAAACCAGAAACTTCTCAATGCAAACCACAAACACGATAAAGCAAACCATAAACTTCTCAATGCAAACCACAAACACGATAAAGCAAACCACAAAAGACATACGAAAATATGAGAAACCAAACCATAAATCTCACAATGTAGAGCATACATCCGGTGGTCGTTGATCGTTGACCGGTCAACGAAGACCGCTGACCGGTCAACGAATTTCGTTGACCGAACTCCGGTGACCGTCAGTCAGCAGATTCCGACGCCGATAGGCATATTCCGACCCCGATGACAAGATTCTGACGCCGGTAAGCATATTCCGACCGCAGTGAGCATATTCCGGCGACAATGGCATATTCCGATGACAAAATAGCATATTCCGGCGACAAAAAACATATTCCGGTGACCGGCCTCCATTTTTCGACGACCGGTGGCAGAATTCCGGCGACCAAAATTTTGGGCCGAAAATAAAAACAGTATTTTTTATTTTTTTATTTTTTTATTTTATTATTTAAACAAATTTTTCATAATGACAATTATACCCCTGCTTTGATTTTACACTAGGTCAACTCATCTAATAAAAAGTCATCACAACCCTAGCTTCCTATTGGTTGGAGACTAGTGTTGTTATAATAACAACACAAGGAGTGTTGTCATACTATCTAGTCCCTTCAACAGCTACTACCAGAGCTTCAAGCGAAAGGGTGCTACCTGTTACTTCAATTCTGCTGCCATGGTCACTGATCTTGATCCAAGTAAGTCACAAATAATTCACATTTCTATGATTTGAGTTTTTTCTAATGCTTTCTCTGATCATCCAATATTCTTTGATCATTCATGGCAGGTAAAGGTTCATGCAAGTTTGAGTATCTGCCTTGACTGCTTATCCAAGGCCATATTTTGCCAATAGAGTTTTCATCAAATCTGTGGAGATGGAGTCTCCTAAATTGAAATGGGTTTTCTGAAATGTGTCCAAGTTTGATTTCTTTTAGTTTCTTGGAGTCTTAATTATATGATGATAATGAGCACCATGAAGAGAAAAGAGGAAGATTGATTTATAGCAAATCCTTATATCAATGTCTCTAAGAACACCATCATTTAATTTCTTCAAAGCCAAACCACATGCATGAACTAAAACAAAACATGAGTTTATAACAACATTCAAAGAAAGTAAATCCATAAAAATTTCATTAAATATTACTTATGATTTCTTCAACGCGACTCTAGGCTTCAAAATAACATCGGATCACAGGGGTGGATACATGCATGTCTAGGAGTGTCCCGGGACACCCCTAAAATTTGGAAACACGATTATTCAACCTCCGATAGTAGTTTGTATATGAGGAAAAAATGTTTAAGTGGTAGTGGGACACCCTTAAAATTTGGGAAAACGATTGTCCAACCTCCCATAGTAATTTGCGTATTAGTACAAATAATATTTTAGTAGTAGTTTATGTGATTTAAATTTGAGACACTGCCACTATTAGTAAACATATTTTCAATTACACTACAACTCATTTGTTATTGTGTTTTGGCCAAATACATTTGTATAGCCAAAACTTTGACGGTTTTGCCAAATATAGCCACTTTTGGAGAAATACCAATAATAGCCACTTCTATCCAATTGTTTGACGGTGTTAGTTAACGTGCTGACTGTACTAACCAAAAAGTTGACGTGGCAAAATTTTTGTAAGTAACAATGCCACATTGATTAACTTTAAAATATAAAAAATAAAATGAAAAGTAAATTATCCCTCTCTCTCTCATTTTCTCCAATCCCACCTTATCCCCCTTATCCATCTTCCTTCGATTCCCTCTGCTTCCCCTGATCCCTATTTCCCAGATCTCATCTTCTCCCCCTTATCCCTCTTCCTTCGAAGGATGACGCGTCCACCTTTCTTCTTCCCCATCCATTCCCTAGCCTAAACTCTCTATTCTTAAAACTCTCTCGATTCTTCTATCACGGCTGGATTCTTGCCGGAGCTCTTCACACTCTCTCCACCTCGCACCACTCACCCCCGCCGACACCGCTTTGTCCTCCCAAATCTCCATTCCACCGCCAGATTCTTAAACCCCCCAACCTAGATCTCCAACTCTTTTAACAAACCCAGATTATGGATGGGGATTCATTTAGGGATTTGATGGGCTGCGAGTGTGATGGTTTGATTCACGGGCAAAACGGCTCAGAAACAGGAAGAGAAGTAGCGACGTCGGGAGCTGCTGGGCCGGCGGGGTCGAAGAACAAGCCGAAGCCTCCGGTGGTGATAACCAAGGAAAGCCCCAACTCCCTCCGGAGCCACATCCTCGAGGTCGGCACCGGCAGCGACATCGCCAAGAGCGTGACCGGGTTCGCGCAGCGGCGGCACCGCGGGGTGTCGATCCTGAGTGGGAACGGCGTCGTAACGAATGTCACTCTGGGCCAGCCGGCGGCTGCCGGCGGGGTCATCGCCCTCCATGGGAGCTTCGCGATCTTGTCGCTGTCGGGCTCGTTCCTCCCCGCACCATCGCCACCCGGGGCGGCGGGGCTGACCGTTTACCTGGCGGGCGGGCAAGGGCAGGTCGTGGGTCCGCTGGTTGCTGCCGGCCTAGCAGCTCCCGACGCCGCTACTTCTCTTCCTGCTGAAATTTTGGGAGTGAAGACAGGGGAGGGGAGTTCGATAGGGGAAGAGAGATTTGGGAGCTTGGCAGCGAAAGAAGAGGGTCCGAAGAGATTAGGTCAATAGGGATAGGGCGAATTCTTTATTTTTTTTATTTTTGTAAATGACGTGTCGTGTGAGTGCTGAGTTGGAAATGAAATGGAGGGTGAGTTGGCAGCCAAGTCAGCGTTCCATTAATTTAACTAACGGTGTCACTGACGCCGTTAAATTATGTAACGGAAATGGCTATTATTGTCATCAAACTTTCAAAAATCTGGCTATTATTGGTGTTTCTCCAAAAGTGGCTATATTTGGCAAAACCGTCAAAGTTTTGGCTATACAAGTGTATTTGGCCTTGTGTTTTAGATCCAAATTAATAGTAAAGTGTTATTCTTATCCCAAATTATTTTTAAAACCTAACGATTAAACCCAATTACTGGATACCCTTTTCTAGTAGGACATGTCGAAAGATCATTGTTGAGCAGTATAGATACCGAATGTATTTTACCATTTTACAAAACATGTCTGAACTTTCAATGTAACTTTTATTAGTCAGATATTTTCATATTTAATAATTATTTAATTTAATTTTAATATTTAGTTTAATTTTTAAATAGGACACCCCTATGTAGAATTTCTGGATCCGCCACTGGATCACTTGATAAGGCAATGTCTAAACGTCGTCAACTAATTCTATGGATACTCGATCCTTAGCGTATCCAATCTGGTAAAAGGAGAAGTTGCAGATTTCATCAACGACTTAAGTATGGTGAGAGGAAACTCGGATTGCTTCCAGCTGTGCGCCACATCTACCCTCGACTGTTAATAAAGGAAACATAAAACAAATTCCAAATTAACGTATAAGATACGTACATACATTTGTTAAGATAAACTTCATCATACTAACAATCTCGATATGTAAGCATACTTTTTTGTCAACGTCAAAACACAAATCGAGAGACTTTGCATTACGCAAACCAAACATCACGTCTCTGAAAGCCCGACCCAGTACTCCCAACTGGTCGACCGAGTCGACCTAGAAGAGATCAACCCTAGCATGACAGAGAAAAGGAAATCCAAGCTCCCTTCCACCTAGGGGTGGGTGTTCGGTTGGTTCGATTTGAACCGAAACGAACAAGCATACCCCAATTATTCGAATCACAGCATCTCCTGACCGAATTCGAACCGAACTATAATTCGGTTTAGTTCGGACGAACCGAATTATAGATCAGTTCGGATCGGTTTTATACTACAAACCGAAATATGTATGCTCTGTGCGGCTGTACCACCGTCAAATTCGAGCAGGTCGAGGTGAATGGCCTTCCAATTGTTGCATTGCCGCCGCAGCAACCCGAGCAGCCGATGTCTCGCGTTTTGGAATCAGTACAAGGATTGTGCAATCTATCTTCTGCCATTCAAAAATTCAAGAGCAGGTACGACGAATTGGAGAAGCACCTCGATTTGATCCGGACTGCTATCGAGAGTCACGAGCAGCCTGATGGTCAAGTCGACGACGAAGCTGTGGCACTCGCGCCTTCGGTGGCAGAAGGCAGTGGACTGGAGTGGAGGTCTGGAGGTCGGAGGAGGAGGATGAGTAGGCGCCGCCTTCTTCCTTTCCTTCCCTTTGCGTCGCGATTTCAAAAATCCACTTTTCTCTTGGGTTAGCTTAAGTCGTGGACGAGTAGAGGTAGAGCCGTAGAGGGCCTGAGGCCCTGAGCAGCCAGCAGGCTGAGTGGGGCTTACAAAGAGGCCCAATCCAATTTATGGGGTGGAGTGGGTTGAAAAAGAGGGTTGGGCCGAGTATTGGGCTGGGGCCTGGGGCGCTGGGAATTGGGTTGGGTAGGGGCAGTTGATTACTTCGGAATTCGGTCGGTTGTTTCGAAAATTCGATTCGGTTCAAATGCGTCTGGTTTTCGAAATTCGCCATATCCACTTCCGAATTTCGAACCTAATTATATGTATTTCGGTTTCGATCGATGTTTCTTCGATTCGGTTCGGTAAAACCGAACCTAATGCCCACCCCTACCTCCACCCCATACCAACGACAAATCACGCAAGCGAACCGAGAATCGAAACGACTCGAGCTTCGGAGCCAACACCTCGTCGAGCACGAGCCGACACCCTTCGAAGCCATCGTTCTCCCTCAACACGAACTCCTCGTCGCCCGACACATCGACCTCCAAGCTCAACAGCTCGGGTGCCGACACTCTGAGAAGACGGGGGACCTACGCAGTCGAGCAGCTTCATGTGTTTCAAGTGACGGAGAGTGGCAAAAGGATAATCCAAATCGTAGTAGAATCATTGCCTAGAGCAAGGAGCTCCCCGCTTGACTTCACTCAGCATTGAGTTGCTGGTTCGCGAGAGCTTAATTTGACTCTTTTTGGGGGTAATGGGTCGTTCTCGCGGGAATTTCCAATCTGCTGATGAAGACCCCACCCAGAGGTTTGCTTCTACTCCTTCTCCGCTGCAAATGTATCTGGGAAATTGCTTCCCCTTTCCTGCCTGCTTCAATTTTTGCACTCAAAGGTTTGAGCTTTGCTTCGGGGTTCAACCCTGGTGCCAACAATCATACCGAAATGTTTGGCCTTTGCTTTCGTTCTGATTCGGTGTGGAAATGCAATTGTAGCTTCAAATGATTTAGTTGGAAGGAGTAGGGAATTCGTGAAATGGGTTTGTGTGTAATTGTGGAAGTTGAAGCTGATGTAATGAACTTGCTTGACTATTGTTGCAATGTAACTGCACCTACCTTGCTTCTATGTTGAACTTGTTAGAATTGGCTTTCGTTTGCTCAACTGTGAATTTGTGATGTATTATGGGTCTCCATTTGGTTTTCTGTTCTTCCCCTTTATTTATTATGGGAAAATATGTGGTATTTTACCTTAATGCGTCGCCTCTTGAGTTTTCTACGGTTTCTGTGCAGATCAAGGAGGAAAAAGAATGCTTCTACTGGTGAGAATCTAGAATCCACCTCTGCAGGTATATAATCATCATTGCATAGCAGTGTGATAACAAGGTGAACAAATACAACCAACGACTCAGAATTGGGGGGAGGGGGAGGTGGGGGTGGGAGAAGTTATCATGATTCTTACATAACATGTCCAAGTTAAAACTATGACTATATATCCAAGTTGATCTAAGGAGCTTAACTAACCAGCATTGCTCGTGCAAATTTTTGCAACCTTGGGATTCCCTAATGAGGGGGTTCAAGAACGTATTTTGTTCGAGTATGGTTGCTTAGCTTATGCTGGTGTAATACATATCCTTTTTCGGGGTCCGGTTGGAGCTATTGATGGTAATGTGAATCATTATGTTTGTTTTTTTCCTTGATATGCATTTCCTTTTAGCTTATCTATACCTTTTTCCGTATCCCATTTGGGGATCAGGGCAAGGTGCTGGTGATGGGAAGAAGGCCTTGTACCATTGTAACTACTGCAACAAAGACATAACCGGGAAGATCCGTATCAAGTGTGCTATGTGCCCTGATTTCGATCTATGTATAGAGTGCTTCTCTGTTGGAGCTGAGATGCAACCTCATAAGAGCAGTCACCCTTATAGGGTTATGGTTAGTGATAACAAGTTTCTTAGCAACAAATGACTATATATCATATGCTGCTCTTAAACTTAATCCCACTGGTTTTCCTTATACGATAATGAGGACAAAGGCATATTTTTGAACAAGTTAATTTTTAAATGCTGACCATCTGCCATTCTGGATCAAACTACAGGATAATTTGTCTTTCCCACTTATTTGCCCTGACTGGAATGCTGATGATGAAATTCTGCTTCTGGAGGTTCAGTGTCAATTGAGTTTGCTCTTGTTTGATACCATTCTTGTATTTTAACTTTACTTTTATACGTTACTAATAATGTATGATCTCTGGTCCATGGGATTTACTCAAATATTAGGGGATTGAAATGTATGGCATGGGCAACTGGACTGAAATTGCTGAGCATGTAGGGACAAAGAGCAAAGACGTTTGCATTGAGCACTATAATAATGTTTATATGAACTCCCCATACTTCCCTCTTCCGGTATTGCCCATTTTGAATATTCTGAATTCTACTTCTTTAGTAGCATGTGTTACTTGATGCTGAACAATCTACTTTTTCAGGACATGTCTCATGTTGTTGGGAAGAATCGAAAGGAGCTTCTTGCTATGGCAAAAGGATCATCCATGCACGGGGAGCACATTTTGAAGGAAGATTCTCCATTTTCTCCATCCAGAGTCAAGTATGATTTATTTTCTTGTCTCTGTACTTGCATTACCTTTTAATCGGTTGCCCTGACTAATGCCACTTTTTCTTGTTCATTCAGAATCGAAGGTGGTTCCTCTGGCCGTTTACTGTCTCCATTAAACACTGGTGATTTAGTATACATGACAAACTAATCCTATTCTGTCTGAATCGTATTCAAACTCCTTGTGAATGAGATTAACTCTTCTAAACTGGTGCTCTTTCAGATATGGAATCAGGAGGGCGTCCTAATAATGCAAATGCATCAAAGACTGCTGTTAAAAAGGCATCTGGTATTGCCCGGGCTAAAGATAGCCCGAATAATGTTAAAGTCGAAGGTCTGAGTTGCTCTATTTGTGATTTTTGTTATATGGTAAAATGATGAGGATGCAGCTTTAGGATCAAGAAACAGTACTGTTGACTTCTTAACTCTTATGCAGATCCTCATATAGAAAGGAGTTCCAAGGGAAAGAAACCAAATTGTCCAGTTGATGGTCCATCCCTACTTGATTTGAGTGGTTATAACACTAAAAGGCAAGAGTTTGACCCAGCATACGACAATGATGCTGAGCAGTTGCTCGCAGAGATGGAGTTCAAAGAGAATGACACTGAGGAGGAGCGTGAAATCAAGGTTCGGGTCTTGCGTATTTATGGGAAGAGGTAAAACATTATTATGCTCAGATAGAGTTCGAAGAAACTACTTGGTTTCTGCTGCTTATGTATATAGTGTGTGCTTCAATTCAACATTTGAGAGCTAGTTTTGATTGGCAGGCTTGATGAGAGGAAGCGTCGGAAGGATTTCATATTGGAGAGAAACTTACTGTATCCTAATCCTTTCGAGAAGGACTTATCTCCTGAGGAGAGGGCAATTTGTCGACGTTATGACATTTTCATGAGATTTCATTCAAAGGAAGAACACGAGGAACTGCTCCGGACAGTCATCACAGAGCACCGAACTCTCAGAAGAATTCAAGAACTCAAGGTACATTGCTCACCCTTGCCTTCAATTGAATCTAAATATCCCATTAAGCACATCGACATGAAATGATGTCGCAGGAAGCACGTGGTGCTGGCTGTCGGACTTCAATCGAGGCGGATCGATACCTTGACCACAAACGGAAAAGGGAAGCGGAAGATAGTTCTCGTCGGGTCAAAGAGGGCGGTCAGTTTGTTCCGAATGTCGTAATCGCTTCAGAATCAGTTGGCAAGGACTCACACTTGAAAGGGTCGTCGAGCTATAATGTCAACGAGCTGGATATCACGGCGTTGTTCGACACCCAGTTGCTATCTGAAGCTGTAAGTTATCTAAGAACATGGATAATAGGGGTGTGCATGGTCTAGGGTGGTCCAGAATCACGTAGACTCAGCATAGGATCCGATAAAAAATGAAGGGAAAATGAGGTTCAGTTCAATTCACACCCCTAGATAACACACATGTTTATGGTTTTAGCTGGTTAGTGAAACTGCCTTGTTTGGATGCATTTTGACAGGAGAAGCGGTTATGCTACGAGATCAGGCTGCCGCCACCTCTTTATCTGCAAATGCAAGAGGTGATGACAAAAGAGATCTTCAGTGGGAATGTTTCGAAGAAATCCGATGCTCATTCATTGTTCAAGATCGACGCCAACAAGGTGGATAGAGTGTATGATGTTCTTGTTAAGAAAGGGATAGCACAACCATGAAAATGGGGAATGAAAAAGAAGCAAATCACTTCATTTCATTCTTAAGTTCTGACTTCTTGTATTGTAATTTAGGCATAACATAATAGATATAGGCTAGAAATGAAACTTGGGTAGAGCTCAGTTCCTTTATGTAGCTGCAGATGGTTGAAACTCGGAATTACCTAAAGGGGTTCTGTATAATGCAACCATCCACTCTACCAAAAATGAGAAAGAAAGGCAAAAAGCACTGAACTTCTATTTCTTTGATTCTTTCACCATGGAGAAAGTACTGAAATCCTAACACAGCTTTTACAGTCAGAACCTGAGCTTTTGCACAAGTTAAACCTGTATAGAACCAAAATGTTATCTTGGTATATCACAAAACATAAGGCTAGTTTGAGGATAATTGGGATTTGGGATACAGCTCCAACTGCTATAGTCTAAAACTTTCAATTACTTAGTGACGGGTTAACGCTAAACGTTATATGTTGATCTCAGAATGCTTTACTACAGTGCAACATGCTCTACTGTTATATACACCAACAGGGGCACCCCAAACGTTCACCTATGATCAAAATTTCTACACTGTCAAGGGACTTAAGCAGCTTTGCTAACGAAGTTGTCTTTGTGATCCACTGCATCCTTACTCACACTAATCACCTCCAGATTCTGCATCTCATCCGACAGGGGTGAAGAACTTGGGAATCTTTCTCTCTCTTGTTCACTGGATACTGGAACAACCTTCTGCTCCAAATATCGAGCATCTCCACCAGAGTCAGAAGTCTTGAGTCTACCATTGCAGCCCATATTCAAAGATAGATAATCAACTATATCTGTCTTTGGCTTCACGTCAACCCATCTGTTCTCCACCCAGTCCCTGGAGATTCTGACATGCTTCCGACCAACACTCAGCGACCTGCCTTCACCTAATCATTAACATCCCAGTTTTTTCAATCAGCTAAATGAAAGTAGAAGGAATCTAGATGTAGAAAGGGTACTGCTTTCTTTCATATATATATACCAGGTAAGTAAACTTGCAGACGGTCATTTCCAGCTGCAGAAACAACACCTTCCCACCAGCCGTCACACCACCATGCATCAATTGGCGCTCCAACCTCAAAAGTACAGTTCCTGAGATCAACAGGAGGAGGCGGGCGAACTCTTTGGCGGCCAACATGTCTTATACCCAACTTATCTGGAGCAGCCACTTTAGTAGCAGGGACCCATTCCTGTTGACAAAAACAAGAAAAAGAAAATGACAGATCATTCCTAAGCCCATATCAGACATTCTACAAAGCCGCATCAATGATCCAGATTATCATGTCAACTCACGAAAAAGTCACGCAGATCATCTGATTGGTTACTGTAGAAAGGAATTATAGCAGCCTTGGGCAATGGGGTTAAAATTGGGTCAAGTAACAAGTTTGGCATGTGAGGATTGAAACGGGTTGTCCATGTCAGTTAATTAAGGTTTTTGACTTCTTTATTGTATGTGAATTGACACTCTAGTTTGGAAAATTTTAGATGGAAAACTTGATTGAGATGGTCCAAGTGGCTATCATGTAAGTTATTCGAAAGAAATCTGTTGCAGGTTCCATTAGAGAAATGTACCTCTAGATTGCTACTGGTTTCCTCATCCAGCACATCGATGTACTGAACTTTCAGACGCCTCTTGGAAGCTTCCAGGACCTTGCACCTAAACCAACACCCCCTAATGCCGCTGTCTTCACACAGCAACTCTATCTCATCATCCGCCTTGAATGTCACAGGAGAGGGCAACTGAGGCGCGACCGAATCCCTGCTGTTCGTAGTTCTCCTCGATAAGCGGAACTTAAGCTTAGGAAGCGCAGGCTTAGTCTCTACCGGCTGATGGATCCCCGGGGCAACATTGGATGATGTACTCTTTCTCTTGTCATTCGCTCGTGCACAAATAACATCTTCATAAGCCAATTGATCATCGCACTCACCGAGAGAGGCGACGATGGATTGGTTGGAGTATCCATTCAGTTTTGCGAGAGCGAATGGCTTGAGCTTGTTTTTCTTGAGCTGGCGAAAGCACATGTGGACAGCTGGCGAAGATGTTGGCGAACTGAGGTCAGCAACTGCCGCATATTTTTCGTAGTGCCAAGGTGTCAAGACAGTCGCCGAGCTGTCGATACACTCTGCGCTGATGACCTGGACATTAGACGTTATGACGACTTCTCTGGGATGAGGGTTTAGCTGAGGAATCAGAGTGTTGACTTCCTCACTGCGGTAGAACCAGCGAACCTTAACCTTTTTCTTGCCTTTCCTATCCTCGTACATATCTTCTAAGTAGCCAAGGTAGTGCTGTTCCTCTTCAGCCAAGATGAACACAAACGAATGCACCTAGAGGGAAAAAAAAAGTAATGGACGGATATAAACCACTACAGAAACTGTTTGTAACTTAAAATTGAAGAAACAGAGTGATTTTATGACTACATACCGGTATAGCAGTGCCGTTCCTTGTCAAAAGTGGGTAATGCTTCAGCTGTTTAGCACAGATCAAAGCAACACCAGACCAATCGATGCTTGCTTTTTCGACTTTTGGTCTTCTCTGAGCCTGCATCATGATGAAGAATTTGATGCAATGCTTAGAAAGTATGTTAAATAGTAGCAGGAAAAGCAGTATCAGGTTTCTTACCACATGCTCTGGCAAATAAGTATTGAACGGAGCCAATCCGGTAACAGCCTCAAGAGATCCCAAGCTGTCGGTGGAGTCGTTTATATCAACACCTGCAACAGAAGTTCAGTCATACACACGATTCTTTTTTTATGTGCGAAACAGACAAGGAACTCACTACAACAGGGTAAGAAAATAAATCTTTCCTGAAAGATAACAACCACCACTCAAGAATCAGATTTTAATGAGCCAAACATTCACAGGCCAAAACTGAGTAAAATCTCAAAACTCAGAGTGGTAGAGTTAGAGGTTCCGGCATATTAAGTTGAATTATATAACAGAAGGCAACATATCTAAGCTAAGCTGATTCACATAGGCAATTATGCTATATGACGAAAAACCCAACTCAGCTAATCTCCATTTAGCCTAGTCATTGCCTCTACACCATTGATGATAGCCGAATGTCCATTTTCACTTTTCAACAGAGCACTTCAGGTCACCTTTCGAAGTATTCCATTACTGAAAATCGTAATTAAGGTTTACAACATCAAGGCAGACAGCCTCTTGCTATCATAATAAATAAAAACGGGTTTCCGCTGATAGTGCTGGCCCTACTTCATTAACTAAGACGATGAAGACATAACACATGAGAGGGAAAACTAACATCTGGTGGTTTTATACAGATCTGGAAGTTCTAACCAAGAGGGCCAAGATCTGAATGCAATTACAAGAAGGCTGAACTAATTACTGAGAGGCATGAGCCATCATAGATCCAAACAAAAAGTTTCAACAAGAAGGATTCCATTTACCTGCCACCATGTTAACCCCAAATTGATGTCTACAGTCTTTAGTTTTACCATGAAGCATAAGCTAGAAGAACAATCTAGATCGCCCTCACAACTCTGGAGGGTTTGTAATCAACCCACACACTAAGCCTACCCACTAGAGTGACAGAGCATATATATAATCGCTCTTCCCTGGTCCTCTACGTGTACACATTCATGTGCGGGACGTGCATGTAATATACGTGGCGCAAAAAATCTGATAGGATCATGTGGTGTTCAAAATAATATCAGGTTTAAGAACTAGATACAGTGAATGTGGACCTTCAAAGCAGGTTTATCATACTGCAAACTAGAATACAGTTCTCTGATTTGAGTAATATGATAAATTATGTTTTCCTAAATTGAAGAGAGATGGGGAAAAATCAACGTTTTGCCGTAGTAAATTTTAAATAGAATTCAGATTTAGTCAAGACTACTTGCCTCACAGTTGTAATTTCCATATTGTTCAACAAAACATAAATAGCTTTCTTTTTCGGAAGAGAACCACGGTTATCCAACTAAGGAAAAAATATCATCTGTGACATTATAGAAAGGCAAACAAACAATGGGATTGAGACACGTGATGCATAATCGTTGGAATTCAGGTCACATTGAACAACACTCTGCGTAGACAGGTATTAACTGGAAAAGCATATGGATACAGATTATCTAGGCATTTGATTATGAATTTAAAGCTCTTCAAAGTCTATATAGTATCGTTATAACATTATGGGAAATCATGAACTCTCCATATCTAATTCAATTGAAACAATGTCATTCTAACTTTAACAATCCCTGACACTAGTTTTCAACCATAGTATAATCAACTGAAAGTTGACAAGTAAGAATTCCATATTACAACTAAGTGTTAACAACTACAACAATGCAAGTTAAATAATGTATAGCATTACTTCCTATCATTGTACTTCGAGTAAGTAACTATGTGTTCGTTTTTTCCTCGATACTTATTTCGAAATCACAATGCCAACTCCCAAGGGAAGTGCATCTACAACTAAACACACAAGGTACATTAACATGACCAAGAGAAGTAGATTCAGCTACCAAATGGAGCTTTTCAACATCTCTAACAATTATGCAAACTCTTCCTCTATATTCTTGACCCTAATGCAGAATCTTTCTCCAGAACACTATAGCATAAGTCAATCATAACCAAACACGTAAAAATGCTACCAAAATCTGTTAAGGCGTGCAAGGCAGGAGCAGGTTCTACACATGCTTTTTGAAATCTCTAAATTAGGATGGTATCACAAAAACCATACACCAAAAAGTAAATCAAGAAAGCAAAGAACGATTCAAATCCTTAGCTACTATTCATATCACGAAAAAGACAAGTCGTGATGCTACTAAGATATCAATCCGCATACCTGCAACACCTCGATCCCTGGATACCATGGCGGCAAGCCAGTCCACAACTTCTCGTCTCGCTCTCCATTTCGTGGAGGCACTGATGCCAAAATCAGACCCATAAGCAACCAAGAACCCATCGCAAACAACGTATATCATATGCCTTACGCTCCGCTCAGTCCCTATCACAGCTAACAGAGACTGCCCCAAAGCATTCTTCAAGTAATAGTGAACCACTCGGTTCCCACGCTCATGGCAAATAATGTGTTCTTCCCATTCCACAAAACTAACATTACGACTCACAGCCATCTTTCAACTAAGAATAGAGATTCCCCAGCAGCCGCCAAACCTGAGACATACAAAATTCAATCCCAATTCAACAAAACCGGTTTTACTAAAACCCTTCTATATCATTTGCAAAATCCGAAGAAGAAAGGAGAGAAGAACTCACCTTAGCAATGGAATCCACATTCAAAACTGCCCCACTTCTCCTATAGACCAACCAGGTGGCAGAATTGAGGGATGTAAAGAGAGCCCTGCTCAGCTGGAAGAAAAGACAACTCTTGGGTTTTTTTCCCCTAATGTGGGTTTTCAGGCTAATGCGAGTTGAATGGGTAGAAAAAGAAAGCTTCAAGCTTTTTCTTCAATTGAGAAGGCTTCTTGTTTTGTCTAGTCCTGTCGTTGTCATGCAATCCAGAAGACAACAGGAGTGTGGCGTGCGGCGACGAATTCTGTGAATAGAAGCGAGAGAATATGCGAGACAGGTGGAGAAAGAAACGGAAAGGGAATAGGTTTTTCTTGGGGTTTTGGAGAGACTTGAAAGAAGGCAGAGGAGCCCATGAAAGGTTGGGGAAAGAAAACAACCGGAGCTGCTGCGGCGGTGGTGGGAGAGTGGGAAAAAAGGAAGGGAAAGAAAGAAAGCGGGAGAAGGGAAATTATGGGGAAATTGTGAGGGCGGAAAGGTAATTTCGCCATAAGATTAAGCGTAAAAAAGTAAAAAAAATTAACTAACGAACTACTGCGGGAAAATGGATTAGGGAAAAAAAATAATTAGACCAAGAGGGGATAAATAAAGGGCAATCTCGTAACTGAGCAAAATGAAGGGGATGTAAAGTAAGTATAAAATACTCACGGAGAGGGTCAAATCGCGGGCATTGTTATTTGTCGTACTAAAACACCTTATTCGCCGCCCTAACTTTTAGTAAAATGACTCAAATATTCTTACTTTAATTTGTGTTTTTTCAAACGAATAAACACTCAAACAAACACATACAACTATACTAATAGCAAAATAAAATATAAAAAAAACAAATTAATGAATTACAAGTGACAATTATGAAGCCCACCCACTCCATATCGTCATTGCGGCTGATTGAAAACCAGTTAGAGCTCGTCGGCGACAGGTTGAAGTGATTATCGAAAAATAAAAATAGGCGACGACACCTTCTTCTCCCTCCTCCTTGCCTTTAACCGAGTCTCTCTTTTCTTTCCTATTGTCCATGAAATGAAGAGCATGCCCTGACAACAGGCAATTCCAAGTTATGGTGTCTGGTTTTGTTCCGGAAAACTCATCTCATGAAAAAGATTCCACGCATCACTCAAACGGTCATGCAAGGTGTGATTAGAAATAATCGGATTCCAGGAAGACGAGTTGAGATCTTCCATCCAATCATCAGCGTCCCGGTTGATTAGATTTAGAAAGGTAAAACATGGTAGTAGTAGAAGTAGAATTTGACACAGATGGGAAATACCCCCGGGTAATCTTTTTTTAATCCGCACCTCCTTACCCTAGTTAAGCTCTAAGGAAATGAATCTACCGGAGATCACTGCTGTAATTTTTTTTTTTTTCATTTTCTTATTGTTGTCGGGAGAGAAGAAAATTGGTTCCTTGGTTAGAAATTGTGGTTAGAGGGTAAGACTGTCAATTTTGATACATTTTAGGGCGACAAAATTTGCATTTTAGGACGACGAATAGCGATTCAGCAAATCGCCGGTGATGGGGAACTCTGCCACTCTCATTTGGGACTTGAATGAGGCTTTGCTCACTGAGAAGGGGATCCTTTCTCCGAATGGCTGCGGAGTCTATGATTTCTCCGATTGCTTGCCGCCGTCTCCCGTCACGTTGTTTGTTTGTTACTCTACTAGTATGTACTAGCTAGCTAGCTTTGACTTCGCTTCTCTTTCTATGCCTTTCTGTCTCTCTGGAGAACTGGAAATGGATTCTTCTTCTTCCGCTTGCTCACTTCTTGATCGAGCCAGCATCTAGCTGCTTCTCTGATTACGCAGCCAATGGCTGATTGTCGTCCGATAACAATGGCGGATTTCTGAGCCTTTTTAACAAGTTTCTAAAGCCAGAACAGAACGCTTTTGGAAGTGCATGGTTGCTTTTCTATTTCTCACCAATGGTAATACAATATCCAGTGATGCAGTTGAAAAAGCTAAGCTTTGACACTCTATATGGCTTTTCCAGTTCAGGGCTCCATAGCTCTGTAACCAAGTTGTTTATCAGCTGCTGCAGTAGCGGGTGAACTGAGCTTCTATTGGTACTTTCTAAGCTGGTTTGCTTTGAGTGCAGCTCAATGGACTAACATAAAGATGCGAATACATAGAAGACCTACTTTGAATGTGACCAAAATACCATTCACAGAAACAAATCGATGTGATAGGTAAAGGAAGAAACTTGTTTGATGAATCAATTAAACAGTGCTTACAAATGGTTTCGTGAACCTCTCAAAAATGAAGAGCTGCACTTCTCAACAACAGAGCGAAACAAAAGCTCCACTTTTAAGGCAACTAACTGCCTGTTGAATTTAAGCCATATGGGAGATCAAGAAATGCGAACTATAACCTTGTTCTTTTTGCCAGCAGACAAAAGGAGAAGCTTCCCATCAACTATGTCTTCATTCTCGATTCTCTTACTCTCCTCATCAACTCTGCTATTGTTCAGGTACAAACCTCCTTGCTTCATCAACCTCCTAGCTGCCGATTTGCTTTCCAACAAACCAGAAGACACTGAGAGATCAACGACCGACAGATTGACAACTTCATTATATGCCATGGAACAGGAAGGCACATCCTCAGCAATCCCTTCAATCGTCTTCCAGTCCAACTTAGTCTCGGCTCCAGGCCTCAAAGCCTCAGTAGCCTTGATCGCCTCTCGAAGGCCTTCTTCGCCATGGACAAATCGAGTCACCTCTTCTGCAAGCAGCTTCTGTGCAGTGTTTGGCAAGTAACCCGGACTCTGCATCTGCAATTCCATCTCATCTACCACCTTCATGTCGAGGAAAGTCAGCATCTTGAGAAACTTGATCACGTCGGAATCAGGAACTGAGAACAAGTGCTGGTAAAACTTGTAAGGAGACAGCATTGCAGGGGACAACCAAATGGCTCCATCCTCAGATTTCCCAAACTTGGTCCCGTCGCTCTTGAGCAGGAGAGGGAAAGTTAAGCCGAACCCTCCTTCGCCTTCCTTCGGCTGAAGGGTTCTCCTGATGAGATCAGTTCCTGCCGTAATGTTCCCCCACTGATCACTGCCTCCAATCTGAACATTCACTCCATGGTTCTGGAAGAGGTAGAGAAAATCATAGCCCTGTAATAGCTGGTAAGTGAACTCCGTGTAGCTCATTCCTTGTTCGGATTCAAGCCTCTTCTTCACGCTCTCTTTAGCAACCATTGTTCCTACCCTAGCGTATCTCCCTACCTGTTTGAGAAAATCCAGCAATTTGAACTCCTTCCACCAATCGTAATTGTTCATAACCACGAAAGAGGTTGTCGAATTGCTCGAATTCAGGATTCTGGTTACGGTATTGGCTATCCCTAAGGTGTTTCTCTCGAGGGTTTCCACGTCCAGCTCGGGCCGCTCGAGGATTTTTCCCGAGGGATCGCCGATTCGGGCGGTGGCGCCGCCGATAAGCGCGACGACTCTATGGCCGCAGCGGTGGAACCAGGAGAGGACTAGGATTCCGAGGAGGTTGCCTAAGTGCAAGCTCTCGGCGGTGGGATCGAAGCCACAGTAAACCCTAAGTGGAGAAGATTCTGAATTGGAGGAAACCGACCTGAGATTGTCGCTGGTGAGGGATTCCAGCAAACCTCTTTCCTCCAATATGTCAATTACATTGCGCCGCCCGATTTCCTCCGAAACGGAGGTCGTTATCCCCGTGGCGGTGGAAATTTCTTCGGCCGATTGTACGCAGCGGATCGCCGAGAACAGGCGAACCTTCCCGCCGCGGCAGTTGCACCTAGCGCTGCTGGCGGGAAGATTTAAGAAGGCTGGAACAGTAAAGATGAACCTTTGATGGAAGGAAGAGAGCAGCGTCCGGGGAGATACCGCCGCCGTTGCGGCCATTGCAGACTAGCTTGAGTTGAATAGAGGAATCGGCCGGCCGCCGGCTTCAAGGAAGTCTCAGTTCGATTCTCCCCTCTTCCATTTCCATCCTCAGTCGCTACGCTAGTTCCTCAGGCTCATCCTGTTGTTGCGGAGAGGGGTATTAGTGTCATTACAATTTACAGCAGGCTTCTTAGGCCATGCAGGTCTCCGGCCCAATATTTATTTAGGCTTCGTTTTTTTTCGCGCCCGTTTATTGTTGGGCTGCAAGCCTGCAATCGGAATTTCCCGCTCTATCCATCTAAATACAATAACTACCACTACCGTCAACTCCGATCGCGCCACGGAAAAGACGGATACGTTTTTACAAATTATTCATCATCGTAAAATTTAAATTCCTTACGTTAATACATTTTTACTGTTATCTGATGTTTTGGTGTAAAGTTAATTGAAACGATCCATATGGAAGTTACAAACTTTTGCTACAACAAGCAAGAGCAAGAAACGGAAGAGACCGACATTGGGTAAAAGTAAGTGTTGGCGTAGTCAAAGCTGACCACCCGGCCGGCGGCGAGAGGCCGGCCACCGTTGACGAGGCAGTCGTTGTAGGCAAGGCGTCGGAACTTGTTGGGCACGACCAATTTGGCGCAGTGGCGGATCAAGGGGTGGCCACCTCGGGCCCCGGCCCAGCCCCTCCTCTGGATCCATAGTTAGTATAGACCTTATGAATTTTTCGATTTTAGATATTCGGGTGATTGTTATTTTAAAATAAGATTTGTATAATTAGAAAAATAATTCAGATGAACATATTCAAAATCACTACTCTAAATTTAGCTTATAAATTCTAACCCCAAAGGTTATTCGTCTAAAAAAACAATGAAACCTAAAAATTCAAAAAGTTTAAAACGTAAAAGACTAAAACATATATGAGGTTTGTTACCTTGAAAAATTTACTAGAGCAGCTGGTGGATATAGGGATGGAAACACAAAGCAAATAGATTAGTAGATTGATTTGTCTAGTGTTGATGTTGCTCGTTTCAACAGCTAATACGAATAGAACCTTTTCAACTATGAAACATGTGAAAATTGATTTGCGCAACAAAATGAGCTATGGATTTCTAGTCGATTGCTCAAGTATTTTATTTGAAACAGTGTACTATAGGTATGGATGTGGACTCCATTATTAATGCATTCGCTAAATTAAAATACCGTCGTGTACAATTTACATTGTAAAAAAATTATAATCATTATATTTTTTTTACTATTCTAATTTTCTAATAAAATGCGGCCCAGTGCACTTCTGTGTTCTGGATCAGCCGCTGATTTGGCGGATGAGAACCAGCCGCAGGTGACGTGGATGTCGGAGATGCTACAATCGCCGGTGTTCAATATCTCCACCGCGTAGGTTTGGGATCCCGTTGGGTTGCGGCGCCATTTGTGCTTGGGATATCGCTATGTCGTCTTTCGAGCATTCTTTTTTACTTGCGCCACCCGATTGGCCAATGAGTAGCTGTTTCCTCGGGAAAACCAAATGCCACCACCGGTGCCTAATTCGTTTCCGGCGATGTTGATTTGATGTTTCGCGGTGGAAACTCTTGCGGTGTCGTTTGATCGAATGCACCGCTGATTGCTGAAATCGAGACGACCGTCAAATATCCGACGCCGAATGTCAGCGCCGTTGATTTGATCGATGCACCTCTAAATGGTGAAATCAACGTGACCCTCAAATATCCACCGCCGGGCGGTGTTGATTTGATCGATGCACCTCTGACTTCTAACCAAGAACGACCGTTACTACGGTTCGCACCTCTCCAAACTAAGTTCGAACGAGGGTGTTTGAGTTTTGAGGAATCTACGCTACCGCTACTCCTATAGAGATTCATGTGGAGAGCTCCGCGACTACGACTAAGACTACAACTATGGAGATCCTTCCTGGAAGGAGAGCTCCGCGAAGGAGTTACAGAGAAAAGGTAAAGTTTTGACAGAGTTATTCTGTGTTGATTTTTGGTTGCCTCTTCTCTCTCCATGCTCTGTTGCTTTTATTCGAAAGCATCTTCGTAGTCTTCACGCAACTCCGTGTCAACTGCTTCGTCGTCCGGAGAACTCCCACGTGTCTCAACCGCTTCGTTCCTTAAACTGCTTCGCGTGAACTTTACGTGAGTTGTTTTCATGATCCCGCGACGTCGTTTCCTTTCCCAAACAACTTCGTTTTTTTTTTCCTCGCGACACTGTTTTAATATTAAACGACTCCGCTTCCAGTCTCGCGGTGTCGTTGGCTCACTCGAGCTTGTTCTCCACGAAACAACCTTGTCGTCTACTACTACGACATCGTTTGTGTTGCAATCTCTCGCGACATTGTTTGTACTAAACACTGTCGTTTATTAGTACAACAATACCATTGGTCCTACTCGCGGTACTGTTTTTAAATCCGTGGTGTCGTTTTACCCATCCGCGATGCCGCTTGTCGCGGTACCGTTTTCCGCCAAATGACACCGTTTCCCAGTCTCGCGATGCCGTTGAGCTTTGAGGTTCGCGGCATCGTATTATCTCTTCGCAGCATTGCTTGACTCCAAACGGTGCTGTTACTCTCCTCCTCCGACAAGGAAAAATAAAATAAAAAACATTCATTGTCCAACAGCAACACATGTCCTGCGCATGCCTCACACATGGTCTGCAACCAATGTCGTTTCAAGTACTGCAGCATCGTTGGGCCTACTCGCAGTATCGTTTTTAAATCCGCGGTACCGTTTTAATTCTCCGCGATGCCGCTTAACTACAAACGATACCGTTTTTTACCCGCGATATCGAATTAAATGCCGAGACTCATCCATGCGCCATTGAATTTAGGCCAAAATTATTTTAGGTGTAAACAATAGCCTTCGAGCAATATTAACTGGATCGGCATTGGCGGCCTCGACATGAAACAGGGTAGAGGATCAACATGGCGGTGAGAAACAGGTCTGATCCTCTGATTATCATCATGATCAAAGCTACAGAGTTTCTCTAATCAAGTGGTTATGGTGATTAAGAGACTGTTGAAAAGAAGGATCAATTGATTGGTGCACTAATATTTGTAGATTAGATCGCATGTGGGGGGTTAACATATGGTGATTTGGTTGTTACTTGTTGGTGCCCTTTTACGGGTTAAGAGTGATTCCAGGGGTTTCATATGGTGTGGATGAATTGAAATTTGAAGTCTTATCTGGTGAACTGGTAGTTTTGAACATTTCCTTTTGGGGTAAGGTGACCTGAGTTTGATTTTAACTAAAATTGTTAGATGTTTTTTGATCGGATGATTTTCACGGTGCTTTGTTGTAAGATTTCAGCTCGTTGACGTATGAGAAGGGTTGATTTGTTATCAAATTAAGGAATTCAGTAAGTAAGAGTTGATTTGTTGTCAAAATTAGGGAATTCAACAAGATGCTTGTGTTCAAACCTTGATAAAAGTTGTCTAACAAAAGATAAGGAGTTGATTTGTTGTCAAACGAAGGGATTTAAGAATGGTTGATTTGTCACTAAACTATGAAACTCAACAAAATACTTATAGTAGAAGTGCTCCTTATATTATATGTCCAAAAATCAAATGAAGTTTTTCAATAAAACAAAGATAATTGTTAAGTCAGCATGCTAATAGAGTCCGTTTAGCTTAAGACACAATAGCAATTGGTGACACATATTAATAGTCTTATTTGTTGTAATTCAATTAAACGAGTAAGTGATAGATAGTTTGGATCTAATTTGTTCACTTTCGACATTATCCTATTGTTTTCAGATATGCCACGAGTCTTCCTTCATCTTTTATTATCTTGGCGTTTATAGATATGACATGATATAGCATGATAGCAAGCCACAGAGTGAAAGATTTGAGTTGTTCACATTTTCTGTGAAGCTAACTACTTAGCAGTTGAGCTAGCTCATTTAAAGTCGGGGATTTAGATCATGATTAGAGTCAAGATCCGCTTCTTTGTTACCTATTGACCAACTTTCTTGTTACCTATAGATCCCAAGATTTTACATTGACTCATGTATGACTCTTATTGGCAATTTTGTTGTTCACTTTATTAATGATTAAGAGGTGACGTTGCTTTGCAACTTTTCATCAATATGTAATATGGTTTGTATGCTTGTTAATCACAAGTCCACTAGCATCCAAAGAGGCAAAGACCAACCAAAAGGGCATTCTTGTAATCCCCGGTAAAAAACAAGCCTACTATGTGTACTCCGGACCACCGGCGAGAAAAAACGTCGACGATCAATTAATTCAAAGAATGAGGCTTTGCTCTCTGAGAAAGCGGAAAGGGTTCCCCTTTTCTCCCCTGACTCTCTGAACGGCTGCGGAGCCGATGATTTCTCCGACCGTCACTCTGGGAAGTGGAAGCAAACAAACCCATTGCATATTGTGATGATCTCTTCCTTCCGCCGTCATCGCCGTCACAACCACCACCACCAGAACCTTAACATCTAGCTTCAATTGATGTTTCTCATCTTTTGAAGCTGTGTTCTCTCTTCTTCGCCGGAACAGCGATGAAACATGAGCGCCCGCTCCTTCTTCTCCTCTTCGGTAAATGGGGCTGTGACGAGATCTCCGGCGAGGGTTTCGGGGTCCATTTGTACGGCGGTTTTCCTGGCGGGGCGATTTCAGTAGCATGTTAGCTAACTCGATTTCGCAGCCTAAAGACGGCTGTAGGGATTCCCTCTCTCACTCTGTCACCGGATCTGAGCCCTTCCTTCCTCCGACTCTTTCTTGTTTCTACTGCATTTACAGAATGAAGTCACTTCAAAGCTGGATTCTTTTTTACGCTGTTTACTTCTTTAATTCCACCATGTGCTAATATTAAACTATATCTTGTTTCGTGTAGAAATTCTCCAGCATTGAAAATGACTAGAGAATATAAAATGCTTGTTTGGGTCAAGATTAGATCATCGAGATCCCATCTTGCAGCTGCTGTTTAAGACTTCAACTTCAAATGGTGTGGAAAGTTCAATGCTTTCCCCATTCACTCTCACGAAGACCAAATCGGCTCTTTCTTTAATGTTGATGTCCTCCTGAAGAAATGGCAGAAACCATTTTGATTCCCGTTGCAAAAGAAATCCTTGGGAAGCTAGGCAGCTTGGCTTTGGACCAGATCGCACTCGCATGGTCTCTCAGAAACGAGCTGGAGAAACTCAAGGGCACTGTCTACACCATCCAGGCTGTGCTCCGTGATGCTGAAGAGAAGCAGGGCCACAATCGTCAAGTCAAACTTTGGCTCGAGAAGCTCTCGGATGTGATGTATGATGCTGATGACTTGCTCGATGATTTTTCCACTGAGACTCGTCGGGAGAGGGCTGCACGAGCAGACACTACGACGACGACTTGTTGGACTGTGGTATGTTTCATTGTCTCTTTTCCGAAGCGATTCTTGTATGAGAACGAGATGGCTCACGCCATCAGGGCGATTCGAGAGAAACTCGATGATATCAAGAATGACAGGGAGTTCCACTTGGAGGAGCTTGCTGAGGAGCAAGCTGTCCCTTTGGAGACGGACCCATGCCCACCGATGATTGTTGTTGGGAGAGAAGCTGATAGAGCTGAAATCGTTCGGCATCTAGTGCACAGTGATGGTGAAGAAGCTAATGTCTCTGTGGTCCCAATTGTTGGGATGGGCGGATTGGGGAAGACTACTGTTGCTCAGCTCGTGTTTGACGACGAGGCAGTTAAGGCATGCTTTGGAGTAAGAGTTTGGGTCTATGTCTCGCAGAGCTTTGATGTCAAAGGGATTCTTGAAAAAATGTTGCAATACATGACTGGTGAGAGCCAAGCAGGTCTTCAGTTGGCTGTTCTGCAGGAGAAGCTTCGTGAGAAGATGAGAGCCAAAAGGTTTTTGGTTGTAATGGATGATGTCTTGGAGGAGAATGCTAGAGGCTGGGAAGACTTGGCAAAGTATTTGATGGTTGGTGCCATTGGGAGCAAGGTATTGGTGACCACTCGATCCAGTAAAGTGGCTGAGGTTGGTAGTGGGATCATGAAGTCTGAAACAGGTGGCACAATGTTGATGCCGTACTACTTGGGAGGCTTGTCGCCGGACGAGTCTTGGGATTTGCTGGTGAGAAAGGCTCTTCATGGAGAAGTTCAGCAGAGCCTGGATGTTGAGAGAACCGGGAGAGAAATACTGAAGAAATGTTGTGGAGTTCCTCTTGCTATAAGCACAATTGCTGGTCTGTTGAGGTCGAAAGATCCGAAAACTGACTGGCTGTTGTTTCTAGATGCCGAGCTCTCGAACATATCTGAAGGGGAAAACCATATCATGTCAACCCTTCGTTTAAGTTTCAACCATCTTCCTACAAAGCTTAAGCACTGCTTTTCTTATTGCAAACTGTTTAAGAAGGGTGATGCCCTTGATGTTCAAAGGTTGGTACACCTTTGGATGGCACAAGGGCTCGTTGAGTCAGAAGATGAGGGATTGGATTGTTTCAAGACGTTGTGCTGGAGGTCATTTTTCCAAGAAGTGAAGGTGAACCAGTGGGATAATGCGTTGGAATATAGAACGCATGATCTGATGCACAATTTAGCGGATTCTATAGTGGGGCAAAAGATCGTACGCGGTTTTAGTTCAAGTATTCTACAAAGAGTTTCTCCAAAAACTCGTCATATGGCAGTGCTGTATGATCATTCCTTCTATGATGATGATCAGTGGGGGGATGTAAGCAAGGTACGAACACTTATAGGTTATGGTAGTTTTTTTAGGGAAGATTGTCAGCGAACCCTCCAAAACTTCAAACGCTTACGAGCATTACAAATGGATAAAGCTTTACCGGTTGGAAATCCTTGGAAAGAACTGCAAGCTCTCGGTGACTTGAAGCATTTAAGATTTCTTGGTCTCAGCTCATGGGGAATAAAAAGAGTTCCGAACTCAATCACCAAGTTGATCAATCTGCAAGTACTTGATCTCTCTGGTTGCCACTACATAGAGGAGCTACCAAGGGATGTCAGAAAGCTAGTCGATCTGAAGCATATCTACCTGCATTGGAATGTGAAATTGACACACATGCCGAAAGGGATTGGGGAGTTAACATCCCTTCAAACCTTACCTGTTTTTGCAGTGGGACATAAAGGAGATGAAACTACCGCTAATGGAGCAGCCGGGTTGGATGAGCTGAGAGGTTTGAATTTGTTGCGCGGAGAGTTGAAGATTACAAACTTGTTGCACGCCAAGCCTGTGAGTTCTTATGTCTTAAAGAACAAGCTTTTTCTTCAATCCTTAGTTTTAGAATGGAGATATGACGATGATGATGATGCTACTCACTCTGCCAAAGATGAAGAAGAGGTTCTCGAAATGCTCGGCCCCCATCCCCATCTTACGGAACTGGAAATTTGCAAGTATACAGGAGTGATTCTCCCCAACTGGCTGTCTACAATCACCAATCTCGTCGAGCTTACAATACGCCATTGCAGAGAATGTGAGTACCTCCCACCATTGCATCAACTTCCATCTCTAAAAAAGCTCAGCATCAGATGGTGCGAAAAACTTAAGGGCATTAGAGACGAAGACCAGTACCAATATGAGCAGCCGGGGACTAGTGTTAGTGATGCTGATGCTGAAGACAACAAGGATTGTCCCCATTTCCCTACTCTTTCTAGCTTGAAAATCAGCAGTTGTCCCAGCTTGTGTCGGATGCCCCTCTTCCCAACCATTGAAGCCGAGTTGGAGCTGCATCAATGCAGTGCACGCCCACTAATTCGAACGATGATGATGAAATCGTCTCGTCTTAGTCGCCCACCACTCTCTCAGGTGTCGAGTTTGCAACTTGATCAGATTGATGACTTGGAATATCTTCCGAAGGAAGGCCTCCGCAACCTCACTTCGCTTCAGGTACTGGAGATCTCGAACTGTCCTCAACTAGCCAATCTGTCCTCCCTCTGCAACCTCACTTCGCTTCAGGTGCTGGTGATCATGAATTGTCCAAGACTAGCCACTCTGCCTCCTGCTAACCACCTAACTAGTATGGAGAATCTCTCCATTAAAGGGTGCCCCATGTTGAAAGAAAGGTGCAGAGAAGGGGAAGATGAAGAGTGGCCCAGCATTATCGACATCCCATCCCCATCCCCAGAAATCAGATATCGGAGATCCCCTCTGGGATTTTAGTTGTGCAGTTTCCATGACGACAGTGTTGTAGCTTTCTTTTTTCTTGTCCCTCTGTAAATTTTCCAAGCTATTGGACTGTATCTGCAAAATGTACCCACTTGAGTGAGTTGAGCAAGGCTAACCCTAAAGGCTCAAACCAACGAAAGGGCATTCTTGTAATCAGCTGGCAAAAAATAAACACGCTTACCATAAATACTAGAATCAATACCCGCGCCTACGCTGGGAGAACTAAATGTGCTATAGCATAATATGGCGGGAATTTCAGTTTATGGCAAAGTTTGTTATATTATTGTCACTTTGTCAGTGGTTTGGGTTTCAGAGTATTAGAACTTAGAAGGTTGGTTAGCGTCCTACAACAAATAATTATCCTAATAATAAAATATGGTTTGTATCAATGCTGAACAAAATGCCTATTTACTTGGGGTTCCTGAATTTCTTTTAGACAGCAGTCTTTGTATCTGTCGAATATTAACGGTTGAACGTATGGGATTTCTGGGGAATCAGAATTCATGTGCTAAAATTGGAGTAATTGATAATTTCCCGGGAAAAGCACGAGGATTGTGAAATCTGAGATACATGTTGGAGCTAATGCTGCACACAACTTAGTTCAAGCCTCCATCTACTTGCTCAATGATTGCATCCTGTAGCTTGTCTACTAATTAGCCGCTTCAGCTGCCACTTCGTTTACTCATGCCAGCTGAATTTTTGGAGCGCCAGAAGTAATGATGCAACCATTCTCAAAGCAGCAAAGATTCTTAGTAGAGAGATATTGTATAACTGTATATTCACAACAATATCTCTTTGTATAACTGTATATGTAGAGAGATACTTTGATCCTTGACAGGATTGATTCAATCCGAGGAAATGCTTTGTTTCTACTTTCTTGTTCTGAGATTTGAATTCTTATCATCTTGAATCATTGGAACCTGGGAGAACCACTTTTCTTGTGAAGTAAGGTATGTGCAATTTCAGGAGAAGCAATTTCGGAGAACTCAAGTCATGAGCATTAGATACGTATCTTCCCAGATAAATCATTCTTATTGGTCGAATCAAATTCCTTAATACCATGGCATGGTTGAAACTGGTTCTACTCTTCTGTCTATAACGCGATAGAGTAAAGAGTCATACTATCTCCCATTGATTCCATCATTCCACTTTTGCATTTCACTTGAAATTGAGAGCTTCTTTAGGCTTTTCCCAAGAGAGAGCGCACCATCGTAGTGATTTGCTTCGATGACAGCCCCGCTTCTTGAATCCGATCTGGAGGTGATCCATGCTCAATGTACCTATTTGGAATCACCTTGCTGTCAACTGCCTCATACAAAACCATGGTAAAAAACAAAACAAAAAGAAAAACTAAGAATGAAATAGGATCTGTGAAAATGTTAGCTAATCACCTTAAGTGGTCCATCTAGAATACCTCTCAAGCTCAGGAAATAAGACGCATGATACCCATACCCATCAATTGAACCTTCTTCCACAGTACTCAGAATCTGATGCTCTCGCAACAACTCCCTCATAAGCTCAGTGCCCAAAGGCTTGCAGAACCTCGACGTCAACTACCGTTACATGAATGTCTATGCGCTTTAGCATCCCTTCAGCTTCAACACATTGTTGCACTATAGCTCAGTGTTAGAAACACGTTTTCTAAGAAAAACGAGTTTCTATATTATCATTATTATTAGGTTTTATTAAATATGGTTAATAGTCTTTTAGTAGAATTAGGTTTAGTATTAGGTTTTCTTATCTTTCGTTATAAATATGTACTTTGCGTTTTATTCAGAATCAAGCAAGAACAATTATTCAAAAAAGTATCTCAAACCCTAATCTCTCTCAAATTCGTCACTATCCCTAGGCCGTCGGCCATTCTTTTCCTCGATCCCCAATTTCATCTTCTAAATCCCTAATCCCCAATTCTGTTCTTCCCCAATTCTATCTCAATCCCTAAATATCTATCAATTCCCAATCTTATCACTCGATCGTTAGAACCCTAGAAATAGGTTTCTAACATTTGGTATCAGAGCCTGGTTCGAGAATTGAGTTCACCACAACTCTCAACCGGGGACGAGTTCTACAACTGGTTCGACGATCGAACCTGTCGTGGGCAGAGCTGCGTGACCGGGCTCGCCGCATCGGACGTCGTTTGCTGTCCGAAGAGTTGCCGACCGCGCAAATAGAAGACGGTGGTGGAGTAGTGCGAGTCTTCGAAAGAGGGCCCGAGGTTGCGACAACGTTTCAGCCGAGCGAAACAGCGTCAGCTGCGTCGGGAGGTACAGTGATGTCGGGAAGAGCTGCGACGCCGAAGCCCGAGCAGCAAACAGAAGCAGCACCGGTGGACAAAAGCGTAGGAGACCTTGTCGATACCGCCACTGTTTCCGACATCAAGAGGGAAACCGCCTTTGTAGAAGAATTCCAAGCAGAAGATGCAGTGGAAAGACCAATGACGAGTCGCCTTGCGAACTGGAGGTTTCAGAAGAAGCAAAGAAGCGACGAAGCAGAGATGGCGACTGCCACGTCGACCGTCTCCGCGGCCTCTCACAAGTCTTTGTTGATCAATCCGCCAACTGCAAACTGGGAGATGCCAACCGCAATCCGCGACAGACGAAACGGAGCAGAGGAGCCGACGTTCCGAGGGGCGACTATGGAAGAGGGGACTAGCAAGGCAGCCCCAATCGAGGCGATGTCGGACGATCTGCCGCTGGGAAAGAAGATGAGCGCTAGATCGAGTCTTTCTTCCTGCCGCTTGAAGATTCTATCACTGAAGAAAGAGGAAGTGATGGATCTGCCGAAAGCAGTCTATTCGCCGAAGAGGAATTCGCCGGAGCTTCCGATTGAAGAAATACCGGAGCAGAGAGACGGCGCGGCATCCTTGGTCGCGCGAGGGAGGGTGGCTCCAGATGAGGTGACAACGACCAAGGACGCGATGAGGCGAGAGAAGTCGAGATTCCGAGCGATCTCACCTCCTCGCCGCGAGATGGAATACAGGCCGGATAAAGAGCCGAATAAGCAAACGAAGATGGAGAAAAGAGACGGCGACTCCTCTCTCTCCTGGGAATCAACGACCGACGATGGGAAAATGAAGGTCGAGACAAGGCCGGAGTCGGGTTTCGCTCTCCGCTGCCTGGTGCCCTGTTCGCCGTCGAGGAAGAAGGTGGCGGCGGAATTCTTTGAGTTGGCGACCGGGAGGGAGGAGGAATCGCCGGTGAAGGCGTTGGCTGCCGGGAAAAGGGATTTGAAGACACCGTGTGTGGTTGCTCCAGGCGTGACGGCCGACTAGCCGGTGTTTCGTTCCTGGCCGGAGGAGGAAGTGAGGAAGAGGGGCGGCGGCAGGTTCCCTCTCACGAACCCTAGCTTGACCAGCCAAGGAGAACTAGGCCAAGCTTGGTTGGGCAAAATGGGTCGGGCTAAGATGTCTGCTGGGCCAAGAGAAACGGGCGGATGGGTGGGGGAATGCTTCTGCAGTTTGGGCCACAAGTTGGGAAGTGAGATTAAGATAGTGGGGCCAAAGTTTGGACTTAATGTGGGCCAACTGGATCAGCAAAGCAGAGCGCGATTTGGGCTGAATATGCCCTTTCATGGGCCACAAATGAGTCCGCTAGTTTGGATCCAACTTGGACCTCTTATGGGTTATCTGCCCAAGAGATTAAATTTGGAAGAAATCGAAGAGGAATTCATGGGCTTAAAGGATGGGCTCAAAGAAGAAAAACTCTATGATTCTTATATTGTGGAGTTTGAAAAGGATGATGGAGGGATATTTGATCATGGTTGCAACTTGCCTCACATGGATTGGGAAGAGGCTATTGGAGTCGGAGTCGCTGGTGTGGGATTCGTTCAAGTAGTGGAGCACAATTGGAAGAAAAGAAAGCAAGAATGGAGGAGGCAAGATGTGGATTGCACGTTAGACTTGAAGAAATGGGTCAAGCTGATCAACCTTGAGGGCAAGGTTGGTCTCAAGGGGGATGGGATGTTAGAAACACGTTTTCTAAGGAAAATGAGTTTCTATATTATCATTATTATTAGGTTTTATTAAATATGGTTAGTAGTCTTTTAGTAGAATTAGGTTTAGTATTAGGTTTTCCTATCTTACGTTATAAATATGTACTTTGCGTTTTATTCAGAATCAAGCAAGAACAATTATTCAGGAAAGTATCTCAAACCCTAATCTCTCTCAAATTCGTCACCTATCCCTAGGCCGTCGGCCATTCTTCTCCTCGATCCCCAATTTCATCTTCTAAATCGCTAATCCCCAATTCTGTTCTTCCCCAATTCTATCTCAATCCCTAAATATCTATCAATTCCCAATCTTATCACTCGATCATTAGAACCCTAGAAATAGTTTTCTAACACTCCGTAACCTAGTATAGCAATTCTAGTTCCTTCCATCGCTACCCTTCCACTATCCTTGAGTGGAGTTCCTTAGTTGTTGAGTAAGAGAACTGCTGCAATTCCATTCCCCCTTGGAAACCAGAAGCAGCTTACCCTATCGCCCATGGTTGCAGCCGTTGCATCAGCTTAGCTTCGTCCGATGATGCTACAACCACCATGTTTGGCAAACAAGCCATGTAGACAATGTTGAATGCTCCACAGTGGGTTGGTCCATCCACCTCAACCAAACCAGCTCGTTCCATAGCAAACCAGACTAGTAGCTTCTGAAGATCCACATCATGTACTAACTGCATTTTTCAAATGGACCACTTTGTTACCACATGAGCAGTATTATGTAAGTAGTGAAATGCTAGTTGTTCAAGATTTTTCATTTTTACCTGATCATATCCACTTTGGAGGAAAGATTAGTAGATGGGCACAGAATGGCTTGAGAGCTTCAGCAGGTAACCCAGCTACAAAGGTGACAGCATGTTGCTCCGCGATCCCCACATCAAAGCATCGATTGGGAACTTCTTCTGGAAATAGTTGAGACTAGTCCCAACACCCACTTCAGCATGCATAGTTACTATCTTGTTGTCCGCCTCAGCTTCTTTGACTAATGATTCAGCAAAGTATCGTGTGTATGGAAGGGTAGAGGATTTCAGCTTGAAAAACTGCCCCGTTTCCACATCAAACTTCACCACTCCTGAAAGAAAAACAGTTCAGAAGAGATATTTGACGGTATTGCTAGTAAGGTCTTCCAAGCATAACCATCTGAAGCATACTATGAAAATATCATGAAAATTCACCATATACTTGAAAGATATATATGAAAGTGTGCTATACGAAATTGTGTCACATCACACAAATGGACTCACCATGCATTTTATAAGCAGCAGCCTTAGCAGGAGGAAACCCTTTCCCCTTCTCAGTTCTCAGTCACAATATGAATCAAAACAGATCCTGATGGGCCCTATCGATAATTTTTACTAACAACATCTTCCTTGCACCAATGCCTTCCAGTTTACCTACATCTTAAAAATTCACTTCAGCTCGCACCAAAGCAAAACACCATAATCCGAAGTAACAAATATTGTAAAAAATCAATCCATCGACCCTTTTAAAACATAACACCACCCTTCACAGTTCACCCCATGACCCATAGAATCATTAGAGTACAAAGGCATCTGTGAGGCTGAGGCCGAGTCGTTGAGCAGGAGCTCAAAGGAGGGCTGTTGGGAACTCTGGGAACCGATTTCTTGCTGGTCATTGTTGAAGGGCCAACTTATCCATCATGAACCAATGGCTCCATGGAAGGCGGTGCAGTAACTCGGAAACCAAAACTGGAACAAAAACATATACAAAGGGATTGATTGATTATATGAGAAGCCAGAGCTTGCAGCCTTTGAATCAAAAACATATTCTGAGAAACGTTACAATTTCTAGGATTCTTATACCAGATAGAAATCACGTTGAGACAACACAGAGCCTTTCCTCCAATATAAGATTTTATCATTAATCGTACAAAGTAAAACCGTACCTATAACTCTGTGGCCATGGTCGAGAAGTGAAAGTCCCGGATCTCCTTCCTTCTTGTCACCTTCATTCTCACCGTGCTCCTCCTGTTACCATGGCAGCCAACAGCAAGAGAAAACTTTAGGGTTTGGGTTGCAGAGAGAAGAAGGGGATTTTGGAGGGAGAGGAGAGGAAAGCAAAAGAGAGCTAGTGGAAGAACTGGGGAGTCAGGAGTGAATCATGGAACAGAGAGAATCATAATTCCAATTCCAATAAGAGGAGACAGGCGAGAATGAGGTCGAAAGGTTGGCTTGTCTCAGTGCACAGTGGAGTTGTTGAGTGGTGAGTAACAAACTAACAATGCAAGGCTAGTGCCTTGTCCAAGTAGCTATACACTGACGGCATGGGATGTAGCCTGCGCGGGCGATTCCGGGAAAGCAACATGGTGAAGTGACGAAAGGAGAAAAAGAACGCTACTCCGTGCAGGCTTTGCGGTAAGGGCGAACTGGAGTATGCGTACGGAAGGCGTGGCTGCTGATTTAACTCGCAAACGGTGGAACTTGCTTCTCACCCCGCAAGTGAAGCGTTCCCGACCGCCGCGACCAGCTCCCCTGCGGAGAACGAAAAACCCCCCTTTCCGCAAAACGACGAAAAGTGAAACAGTAACAAAAGGTTGAGGGTAATAAAGGGTACCCACTTTTATCTTTTAAAGAACTCTGTATCGCCGGTGAAACCAAAAAGTCAGACGATCAATTAATTCACTGAATGAGGCTTTGCTCTCAAAGAGAAAGCTGGATGGTATCCCGTTTCTCCTTCCTCTCTGATCAGCTGCAGAGCCGATGATTTCTCCGATCGTCAGTAGAAACAAACACTGCTAATATTCTCCGGATCTCTCCCCTCCGCCGCCGCCATCACCATGGAACTGTGATCTCGGCATCTCGCAGTCTGCTGGCGTGTTTGTTTCCACTATGTAAATACTAGTAAAGGGTGAATAGCATATTTTGCCCCTCTACTGTCAATCTAGTTATGCTCCTAACATGCCATTTTGTTAGGAGATACTGACAGGGTAGGATAGATGGCCACGTCGCCAAGCCGCCATCCATCGGTGGAGGAGAAAACGCGCTAGAGTGTGAGGGATGAGAGCCGATTCCATCGGCTGGGCCAAGCCCACTCCGGCTTGCGGGGCCCGCCGGGCCCACTAATTCAAAAACAAGAAAAAACCCTAAACCCTACCCCTCTTCACGTTCTTCCACAAATTACCTCCCCCCCCTTTCTCTCTCCCTTTCCTCTCCCTTTCTTCCTCTCTCGAACGCAGACGAAGCGTCGCGGGATGTAGCGAACTCGGCGGCGTCGAACTCGGCGACAGCAAAGTCTGGTGGCGGCGACGATCTAGGAGGTGGCGGCGACCTTGCAGCGAAGGCGGAAATCTCGGCGGCGACCTTGCAGCGAAGGCGGAGATCTCGGCGGCGGCGACCTTGCAGCGAACTCGGAGATCTCGGCGGCGACGACTTTGCAGCGAACTCGGCGGCGGCAATCTCGGCGGCAGCGATCTTGTCGGCGGCGACGAAGCAGCGATCTCGGTGGCGGCGGTTTGCAGGGAACTCGGGTTCTTGATCAAGTAAGTTTTCAAGCATAGTTTCGTGGATATTAGGTTTCGTTTGGACAGATTTGAGTTACGGTTGCATGATTCGTTCTTTTGTTGATTTTATTTCTGGGTTTTGTGGAATGGCTTTCTGTTTGTGTCGATATTAGTTCTGTTTGTGTCGATATTAAATCTGTTCGAGCATGATATCAGTTTTTACTTTCCTGGATAGTTGTTTTATAGGATCTGGGTATTTGTCTTTGCAGGTGATTTATCGATATTAGTTCTGTTTGTATCGATATTAGTTCTGTTCGTGTCGATATTAGTTATGTTTGTGTTGATATTGGTTTTATTCGAGCATGATATCAGTTGTGACTTTCCTGGATAGTTGTTTTATTGGATCTGGGTATTGGTCTTTGTAGGTGATTTATTAATGGCAATGTGGTCCCCATATATTCCCCATCTCTCTCTCTCTCTCTCTCTCTCTCTCTCTCTCGTCTCTATTTCATTATTCACCTTGCTTATTGTGATTCAATCGAGTTTCTGAAAGCGATTGTTCTATTTTTCTTTTGATTTTGTTTCTTGGATTCTGATTTTGTGTTTAAAAGAAATAAGTAGTGTTTGAAGTTAGGGTTTCATGGATACGACTAGATCTGGGTTTTCCTTTTTCTGCGTTTTTTGTATGAGTTCGATGGATTTGTTTTCTGGTAACTTAGATTTGACTGGATCTGAGTTGCTTTCTTTTGTGGATTATGTGGATATGTTTTCTGGGTTTGTGGATGTGACTGGATCTGGGTCTGGGTTGCTTTGTTTGTGGATTTTGTGGATTTGATTGGATCTGGGTTGCTTTGTTTTCTGGGTTTTGTGGATATGTTTTGTGTGCGTTCCGATATTAGTTCTGTTCGGGCAGGATATCACTTTTTAATTGCCTGGATAGTTGTTTGATATATCTGGATATTCCTACATTGATATTGGTTTTGGTCGACCATGATATCATTTGTGAATTGTCTGGATAGTTGTTTGATATATTTGGATATGACTTGTTTGATATTACTTCTGATCGTTGGGGTATTCGTTATGTGAAGTCCAAATATTGGTTAGCTGATGTCAGGATATTCTACTGGGCAGGAAAATCACAATGACAAGAACTAAATCAACTGCAATGAGGACCACATCAGAAGGCGAAACCTTTAGGCCTAAATGTGCCAAACAACAACAACAAAATGAGGACAAAGAAATTGAGGATGAAGAAAGTGATGACCAAGACGATGAGGGAAAAGGAAGAAAAGTTGATTTTAGATTTGTGTAGTGTGATATTGGTTTGTAAAACTGAACTTAGGGTTAGATAATATTTAGGGAAGGATGTTGATTTGTAGCAAGATGGATAATATTTTGTCAAATATTGGATATAATTACCAACATAAGTTCTTATTCAAAAATATATCATAACCTCCGAGAAAAATATCCGTCTTTATGTAGAATAATATCCTTAAAGCTCAGACTAATACTTTTTGTGTGCCAAAGCATATCTTGAAAGCCCAGACTAATATCCTCGATCTCTTTGCCTCTTCACGATTCTTCGATTGGTTTTTCTCTTTAGTCATCAATTAAACACATTTAATCAATTATCCACATTTAGTCATCAATTAAACACATTTAATCCCTGTGAGGTCAAGATATTATCGAGGCGGGAAAAAGTCCAAAAGATGATCGACATTTTGGAGCAGCAAGCCCACACTTGAACTAACAATTTTCTTAAGTAATATTTTTTGTTTGGAATGTTATAATCGCCATGTCGGAATGGTTTTGAATACTAATTGTATCGAGTGTTCTCACTAGTTTTTCTTACTTTGAATACTAATTGTATCTAGTATTCTCACTAGTTTTGTGTACTTGAAAACCATAGCAGACCAATATCCGTACACCATAAAAAAATATCCACACCACCCAGACAAATATCCTTTCCTCCCACAATAAATATCCTCACCTACACAAACTAATATCCACTGCTCAGAGACTAATTTCTTACTGTCTTAGACTAATATCCGACTACAGAGCACAAATATCCACACATCTCATTCTAATATCCTCCAATCTCCATGTTTGGATATTTTTTGCTCTTTATTGTATGGATTATAGTTACCTTATATTAGTTCTGTGTGGCCAGGATATCAGTTGATTTATACGTGGATATTTATATATGCTCCAGGGATATTGGACAATGGCAAGAACAAAAACAACAACGAAGAGACCGTAAGAGAAGGATTATCCCAACCTCGTCGTGGCATGATCGAAACGTGGGGGGCTCGGAGGGACATGATAAAAAAATATAATCGAGAATTTGCACAAGTAAGACAGCATTTGAACTATTCCTTTTCCGTTTTTTATGTGGTTATACTTTTTTAGATTTTAGATTATGGGATTGCCAAGTTGGAATGACAATAAATACTAGTTGTATCGCGGTTTATCGAAAAACGACTTTGTTTTATTATGAATTTGCTTAAACTAAATATCAACACAAACAAACATAGATAAACATCCACAAAAAAACAAATGCAAACCACCCAGAATAATATCGGTTCACCATAAACAAAATCCAGAACACCCAGACTAATATCCCACCGCCTAATATCAATATCGAGTCAGCCCGTAATTAATATCCTCACCATACAGACTAATACCCACCACACACAGAGTAATATATGGATGTCTTAGACTAATATCCGGCTACACAGCAAAAATATCCACACGTCATGAACTAATATCCTCCAATCACATAATAATATCTTATCACCACACACTAAAATTGAACACCACCCTAACTAATATCTATTATTGGTTCATGGGCCTTCGGCCCATGGGCCCTAGGCGGGCAGCCCTAACTAAGGTTGCAAGCCTTATGTTCAGGTCTTGATAGTGTCACAGGATATGCCAATCAATATCAGTAAAGCCCAGACTAATATTGTATGAAATGTTACTAATACCCTTCGTGCTACCAACAAATATCCTGGCATCACATGTCAATATCAGACCACAACAAACCACTTCTATTCATAACCATTTCTGTAATATAACTAAAACATCACGAAGAGAGAGAGAGAGAGGAATGAGATTTGGGTGGTTGTGACATTTAATTCCAAGCTTTTAACATTCTCTTTCCACATTTTTCTTTTTCTTTCCCCATTTTAATCACAAAACTGGGCCCCTTTTTTCCACTTTATCCCTCCCAAATATTGGTCTACCAAGCTTTCCCCATCAGCTCCCTCCCCTTTTATCGGCTGGGCTAAAAAACCCACAAGAAGCCATTAAAATGGGCCCGTCTCTTGCAACCGTTGGATCTCGACTGGGCTTGTATGGAGAACATCCAGACCGTGTCAGTATCTCCTAACAAAAACATCAGTTAGGAGAATAACTTTTTTTCGCTCTACTATGCATTTTTCCTAAACCAAGCAAAGAAAATATAACCTTTGTTCTTTCTTCTTCTTCTTTGCCCTCTTCAAAAAAAAAACGAGGCTGTGATGAGATCTCCGGTGAGTCCAGACCAAGAATTCAGAGTGCGAATCGATTCTACGGTTGTTTGGCGGGGTGATCTCCGTGGCACTTTTTGGGTGCACGATTTCGCAGCCGAATCAAGCCGTAGCAATAACGATTCCCTCTTGTCTTGCGTCGGGAAATCGCCGGATCTGAGCCCGTCGCCGTTCTCCCTTCTCTATGAATGGCTGCGAGGTCCATGATTTCTCCGACCTCCGCTGCCATTCCTCCTCCTCCCTTCCACACTACTCCTTCCCCAGCTGCTGCTGCTCTGCTTCTTCGTTTCTTTTCCCGGGGAACTTGGTTTGTGTTGATTAACTAATTATCTGCTTCTCCTTCTTCCTCTTGCTCTTTGAAGTGGGGCTGTGATGATATCTACTGAGAATCTGTTCAGGCAACCCTTGAGGTCGGCTTCCCACGGCAGGTCCGGCAAGGCGATGTAGTGGTAGTGTTTAGCTGCTTGATTTCGCAGTCGGACGGCCGTTGGTCTCCGTGCCTCTTTGTCGACGAAATTCCGGATCTGAGCTACTCTTTTGTTTGATTTTCTGGGTCTGAGCATAGATTGTTATTAAAAGAATTAATAAGAGACTGAGAGATGAAAATTAAGCAACTGGAGAGGATCATCAAACTGTACGTCGGACTTGTGACATATTTTCTTGCTACTAATCAAAATATGCGTCAACACTAAACAATGAATGAAATACAGGCGAGCCCTCCATCCTGATGTTGACCATTTCTTGTTTCTACTGCATTTGCAGATCAGAGCCAGTGCAAAGATTGATTCTTTTTTACACTGTTCAAATACTTCTTTATTTCCATCACTACCCATGTGTGTCTGATAATAAACTGTATCTTGGCAGACTTTCTCCATGCTGGAGCCATGGAAATGACAGGAGAATATAAAATTTATTTTGTGTGTCAAGATCATCGATCCCATCTTGTTGCTGCTTCAAATGGTGTGAAAAGCTCAACGGTCTCTCCATTCTCTTCCCAAAACACCAAATCGGCTCGCTCTTTGCTGTTGATCCCCTCCCAATCGAAGAGATGGCAGAAGTGATTCTGGTCCCCGTCGCAAAGCAAATCCTCGGAAAGCTAGCTAACTTGGCTTGGGACCAGGTCGCACTAGTATGGTCTCTCCGAAACGAGCTGGAGAAACTCAAGGGCACCGTCTCCACCATCCAGGCCGTGCTCCGTGATGCTGAGGAGAAGCAGGGCCACAATCATCAAATCACAGTGTGGCTCGAGAAGCTCTCCGATGTGATCTCCGATGATTTCTCCACCGATACTCGTCGGCAGAAGGCAGCAGGAGCAGACTCGACGGCGGCTTCTTGTTGCAGTGTGGTATGTTTCGTAGTCTCTTTTCCGAAACGATTCTTGTATGAACATGGGATTACTCGCGCCATCAGGGCGAGTCGAGAGAAGCTCGATGATATGAAGAATGACAGGGAGTTCCACTTGGACGAGCTTGCTGAGGAGCAAGCTCTCCCTTTGGAGACGGATCCATGTCTGCCGAATATTGTTGTCGGGAGAGAAGCTGACCGAGAAGAAATCGTTCAACTTCTAGTGCACTCTGATTGTGAATCTAATACTTCTGTGGTCACAATTGTTGGGATGGGTGGACTTGGAAAGACGACTCTTGCTCTGCTTGTGTTCGAGCATGAGGCAGTTAAGGCGCGCTTCGATTTGACTGTTTGGGTTTACGTCTCGCAGAGCTTTGATGTCAAAGCCGTTCTTGTAAAAATGTTGCAATCCATGACTGGTGAGAGCCAAGCAGGTCTTCAGTTGGCTGTTCTTCAGGAGAAGCTTTGGGACAACATAAGAGACAAAAGGTTTCTTGCTGTATTTGATGATGTCTGGGATGAGAGTGCTAGAAGTTGGGAGGACTTGGCAAAATACCTTATGGTTGGTGCCGCGGGTAACAAGGTATTGGTGACCACTCGATCCAGCAAAGTGGCCGAGCTTGGTGGTGAAATCTTGAAGTCAGAAAGGAGTAGCAAAGTTGTGATGCCCTATTTCTTGGAAGGCTTGTCGGAGGACGAGTCTTGGGATTTGCTAGTGAGAAAGGCTCTTCATGGAGAAGCTCAACAGTGCCTGGATGTGGAAAGAACTGGAAGAGAAATACTGAAGAAATGTTGCGGAGTTCCTCTTGCTGTTAGTACGATAGCTGGTGTGTTGAGTTCGAGAGATCCGAAATCTGAGTGGTCGTTGCTGCTACGTGATGAGCTCTCAAGCATCTCTGGAGAAGAAAATCATATAATGTCAACCCTTCGTTTAAGTTTCAATCATCTTCCTTCGAAGCTGAAGCATTGCTTTTCTTATTGCAAGCTGTTTGGAAATGGTGATGATCTTGATGTTCCAAGGATGGTACAACTCTGGATGGCACAAGGGTACGTCGAGTCGGACGATGAAGGGTTGGGTTGTTTGAAGAAGCTAGTCTGTAGGTCATTTTTCCAGGAAGTAAAGGTAGACGAGTTGGGGAATTTATGGACATGCAAGATGCACGACTTGATGAACGATTTAGCTAGTTCCATTGCTGGGGAAAAGATCGAAATACTCGAATGTCGAGTATTCTACAAAGCATTTCTTCAAGAACTCGTCATGTGGTGTTGTTTGGATTCTCTAATTATGATGGAGACGACGATGGTGATTATGGATTGTTAGGGGATGTGAGCAAGGTACGGACACTGATGGGTTACAACAGTTATTCAAAAAGAGATCGTGGACGAGCCCTCCACAACTTCAAGCGTGTACGAGCTTTAAGAATGTTGATTAAAGATTCGGATAGTTGTGAAATACTGCGTGCTCTTGGCGAGTTGAAGCATTTGAGATTTCTTGCTCTGGGGTGGCGGGGACCGGAAAGAGTTCCGAATACGATCACCAAGTTGCTAAATCTGCACTGCAAGTGCTTGATCTCCGTGCTTGCCGCTACATAGAGGAGCTGCCAAGGGATGTTAGAAAGCTAGTCGATCTTAAGCATATCTACCTGCACGAGTATGTGGAATTTGCACATATGCCAAAAGGGATTGGGGAGTTAACATCCCTACAGACCTTACCTATTTTTGTAGTTGGACATAAAGGAGATGATGAGACCGCAAATGGAGCAGCCGGGTTGGAAGAGCTGCGAGAGTTGAATTCTTTGGGTGGAGAGTTGAAGATTGCAAATTTGGGGCACGTCGAGCCTGTGACTGTGAGTGGTTATGTCTTAAAGGACAAGTTGCGGCTTCAGTCCTTGGTTTTAAAATGGGGATACCCCGATTACGACGATGCTACTCGCTCTGCCAATGATAAAGAGATGCTCGAAATGCTCCGCCCTCATCCCGATCTTAAGAAATTGGGGATTCACGCATATCAAGGAGTGAATCTCCCCAACTGGTTGTCTACAATGACCAATCTCGTGGACTTTAAACTGATCAACTGCGTAGAATGCGAGTACCTTCCGCCATTGCATCTATGCCCATCTCTGAAGAAGCTCCACATCAGCTGCTGCACAAAGCTTTTGGGCATTAGAGACGACCATTTTAGTGATGATGATGCTGGCAACGACGATTTCCCCTGTTTTCCTGCTCTTTCCAGCTTGAAAATCACTTTTTGCGACATGCTGAAGCGGATGCCTCTCTTCCCAACTGTTGACGCCCGGTTGGAGTTGGACGAATGCTGGACATACCCACTGCTTTGTACAATGATGATGAAATCGTCTAACCTTAGTAGCCCGCCACTCTCCCAGTTGTCGAGTTTGCTACTTGTGGATCTTGATGACCTGGAGTATCTGCCGGAGGAAGGTGTCTGCAACCTAACTTCGCTTCAGAAGCTGGTTATCAGGCGTTGTCCAAGATTAGCCACTCTGCCTCCTGCTATGCGACGCCTAACTTGTCTGCAGATACTGATTATTAAAGGGTGTCCCTTGTTGAAAGAAAGGTGCAGAGAAGGAGAAGGTGAGGACTGGACGAACATTTCCCACATCCCATCAGTAGAGCTCAGCGACTAATTCTGAAAACTCTCTACGAATTTTCATTCTGCTGTTTGCATAATGACATTGTTGCAGCTTTTGTTTCGGTCCCTCGGAAAATTTTACAAGCCATTGGACTGTAGCTAACAAAAATACATACTTGCGGACTTGCCTGACTTGTAGCTAACCTTCTTATGCTGAATTCGAAGGTCGGTAACTTCTAATAAGTGTTTGCAAATCTATGTGGGATGAACTCAACAACTAATCACCACCAACATAACATACCCAAGATTGCAAGTTACAGTATCTACACAAAATCCAATGGAGAAAACAGAGCAGAGAGTTAATCAAGACAGAGGAGGGAACAATCAGGAATGGGGAGAAAGAACGGCAGCTTCCAGCCGGATGTACTTCTTGGGATTGTTGGGATCGACAACCCATTGGATTTCACTCATATTGGGCATCTCCACAAACGCCATTGTGAATTCCCCGATCTTTTTTATGCTCCCTCTCCTCCCTGCCTTCAAAACCATCATCTTGTTGTAGTCTCCGCTGTTGGAGAAAATCCCCTTCTCCAATCGAACAATGTCTCCCTCCTCGAAAGCATCGCAATCCTCGCCCCACAGCTCGAAGTGCACGGCCGCGGTCTCATCGGCTACCAGCGCCATGCAAGACCTGCTTTCCCCTCTGTTCTTCTTCACCCTGCTCTTCTCCAGCAATATGAACGTCGTGTTTATGTTGTTCTGGGCGGCAGGGATGATGTCTTTTAGATGAATGGGGCCATCCATTCTTCCACGCGCTACTCTTTCTGCTTCTGGGTGATCTAATAGCGTTTAGCTGCTTGATTTCGCCGTGCCTCTTAGCCGCAAATATGAGCTCCTTCTCTTCTGTGAGAGGAAGAGGAAATCAATAACGGCAGTCAGCGATTAGGGAAGAAACCCCTACCTGGCCCGCGGAAGAAGTATTTCGTGGGTTGGGCCGGCTACTCGAATGGGCTATGAATGTTGGGCAAGCCCAAGTTTGAACTTCAAGCCTCTAAGTGGATTGATGTTAGCAGGCAGCTATCCTTATGCTTTTCGGACTACAACTAATCATATAACAATAACATGAGTTTTAGAGAATTAAAATGGAGTAAAAAGAATGGAGAACCAAAAATTATACATAGCAAAGTCTGCTTCACCGAATCCACCGAAAATCTTGGCGTAATCCGGCCTGGAGCCCCGCGGCTCGATGGAAGCCTTCTGCTCGTTCATCTCGGGAACATCGAGCATCGGAATAGACGATGGTGACCAAACCGTCGTACTCTTGGTTCCCGCCGCTGTACCCCCGCCGTCGACCAGCTTCTTCGCGTAAGCAGAGAGAGACGCCTACTGAGACTCCATTGAATAAGCGAAGAAAACCAAACGACTAGGGAGACTGTCTCTAAGGTTTTAACACGGTTTCTTTACATTACGTCTCCTCGTTTTGTCCTTTCCTCTTCCCCTCTCTCTCTCTGGTGTTTCCTGAGAGTGTCGATCGTTCCTTGAACCAGCAAGATCCGGCGGAAGCAACATCCAGTCATATATTGACATTTTATACATAGAGCTTACAATCTTCAGTTACCTCTCTCCATGCTAATAAAAAAAACTCTCTGTTAAATAGTAGCGGCGACGGAGCTTCTGTCGGGATTGGCGACGAATCGGGAGGAGAAGGCGCAAAACTGGAAGTACTTGTCATCGTCGAGCAGGCTTCGTCGAAGTTGAGCGAGTAGCTGACGGTGACCGACCATGATGGTTTAGTAAAATCATAGAAATTAATTTTTATTTTTTAAATGGGTGTAAAAATGAGATGAAAAATAGAAAATCTTTAATTTTTTAATTGTCACGTCACTCATTTAACGGTCTACTATGAGAGTTGACTGCCACATCAACAAAATCTAACGGAGACTAACGGAGAGTGACCAAACTTGAACTGTTGAACTAATTTAAGTGACTACGGATGAAATAAAGTAATTCTAGTGGCTAACGTGAAATTTATTAGTAATTCAAGTGACCAAACTTGCAATCTATCCTTGAAATCACTATTCGTCACCCTAAAATTTTAAAATTATCGCCCTAAACCATACTGAATTCACGTTTATACCCTAACTCCAATTCCTATTCCCTACTGTCCCGGCAACCATGAAGATGAGAAGCTTTGTAACAAAGTGGCGCCCGCCAACCACTTGCCGTCGATGGATCTAAGGTCCATATCTGTATAGAGTAAAGGAAGAGAATGATTTGAGTTTATTAATTATTATTAGTCTTGGAACTAATATATACAGGTGCTAAGATAGGAATCGTATAGCAGCACTAACAAACTAGGAGGAAGGTGGGTGGGTGTACTGGTTGGTGTTTGACGAGATAAGCTCGGAGTTTGGTTACTCCTAATAATCGGAACCTGGGACTGGCCGGAATCGGCAATAGTCAAAGCTTTCCCACCGTCGGACAAGTCTGATTGAACAAGCTTTGCGCAACGAATTCGCATCCGGCGACAACTTGTCACCGATGGATCTAAGATCCATATCGAGAACCCTCCGACTCGACGGGATCGGCAATAATCAAAGCATTCACATCATCGGACAAGGCTGATTGGACAAGTTTTGCGTGACGATTGGCATCCGACAACAAGTTATCGCTGATGGAACTAAGGTAATACGAGAGCAAGGTCTGACGGAATCGGCAATTGTCGAAGTTTTACATTGCACAAATACACCGCCTTCACTTGAAAATCAAATTAAACAAAGAACATTAGAGTCATTTTAATAAAATTTAGAGCGACGAATAATGTATTTTAGGGCGACGAATAGCAATGTCCTTTAATTGTCATTTCAAGATATACATTTTACACTAATCGTCATTTGTGGCACACTTGTCAAAATGATCAATGTTTAGATTCCCAGGAAAGACCTTGTGAAGTAGTTTTTCGAAGGTTGCAGCAGTTGTCTGATCTTTGTTTGTTAGAAATATATTAGCTTTGAAATATAATCACTTGAATGTTCCCTTAACCTACTTCTTATTAGCAATACAACATAAAAAGGAATTTATTTCTTTTATTTATTTACTCCACTACATTCTGTTACTACTTCTCTGGAACGTGCCCTGTATTGTTGGCTACAAAGCCTCCCTGTACTTGTATAATTAGTTGTGAAGATCATTAATCAAATCATGTTAGTTTCAACAACAATATTGTTTGGCAATACTCCCTTCATGGTATCAGAGCAGGAAACGGTCTCCTAGCCTGTACCAATCTCGTCCACTCTTCTTCCTTTCACTGATATTCAGTTCCTCTGTTTTTTTTCTTCTCTTATTCTCTTCGCTTGCTCTGTTGTGTTCATCATGTCAGGAACAACAGTAGCTATTCCCTCGGCAAGCTCCGATGATACCATCATTACATTCAACCCAGCCGCTCAACTTCCCCTAAAATTGACAGCCACCAACTTCAACTCCTGACGCTCTCAGCTCGAGACCCTTCTCATGGGTCTGGACCTCATCAGCTACATCGACGGCACCGGCATCGTACCTGCAAAAATAGTCACTGCAGATGATAAAACCGGAACCAATCCCGTTTTTCATCTCTGGTATCGTCAAGATAAGTTAATTCTTCCTGCGCTCCGCTGCTCCATATCTGAGTCGCTCTATTCCTATGTCTCTGCCGCTGCCACGTCCCGCGAAGCCTGGCTGATTCTCGAGAAGCTTTATGCTGGCCGATCTCAGTCCCGTATTATCAATTTGAAAGGGAAACTTGCTCGTACAGTTAAGGGAAATCGGGATATTCTTACATATGTGAATGACCTGAAGCTTATTGCCGTCGAGCTTGCTCTTGTCGATGACCCTGTTTCCGATTTGGATTTGGTGGTTCATTGACTCCGGGGCCTCGGCCCTGACTACACCCACTTCATCGCTGCTGTTCGCGCCCACGGTGGAACTATCACTATCGAAGAACTCCTGGATTCCCTCATCGAATTTGAAGGGGATTTGAAGGAGCAGGCGAGACTGAGCACAGTTCCCACCGCCTTTGTTGCGCACAACCTCCCTCCTCGACGCAGCGGCGGCACAACCACAGGGGGCTCTTCTCCCCATTTCAGCGGCGAGCCTTCTTCACCTCGGCTGCAGGGAGCCCAACTCACCCGTTCATCCCTAGGGTTTGGGCCTGACTCCATGGGCCGCCCCACTCCTTTGCTGCAAGGTCCAACTTCACCCTCTGAGCCCATTCGTCCAAGAAGGCAGCCTGTCATATGTCAATATTGTGAAAAGCCCGGTCATCAGTCCGGCAATGTTTCAGGCTGTTTCCTCAGGCCCGGCAGGCCTTCACTCAGGCTCGTCAATCCCAGGCCCATCATACTACTACTCACCCTCCTCCGTCTTCATCGACCGGGCCTTGGCTTATGGACTCTGCTGCGTCTCATCATGTGACCTCGGATTTGGGCCAACTCTCTCTATACTCTGATTATATGGGTCCTGATGAAGTTGTTGTTGGGGATGGCTCATGTTTGGTGATCTCTCATATTGGCTCCTCTACAGTTAATCTTGGCTCTGGTTTCTTTCACTTAAAAGATATTTTATGTGTTCCTAGTATCAAGCGGCATCTCATCTCAGTTGCTAAATTATGCCAAACTAACCCAGTGTCGGTGGAATTTTTTGCCACTCATTTTCTTGTGAAGGATCTTCGCATGGGGGCGCAGTTGCCGAGGGGGGGAAACAACGGTGATGTCTATGAATTGCCGCGAGAGGTGGAGAATGTTCGCATGGCCATGGTCACCACTTGAACTTCTGCAACATCGTGGCACACTCGTCTTGGTCATCCTTCTCTTCAATCACTTACCAATCTTATTCGCTCTTTTTCCCTTCCAGTTTCCTCACCGATCACTAGTTCTTTCTGTGATGCATGTCTTTCGAATAAAAGTCACAAACTGCCTTTTTCCATCTCGTCTTTGTCTAGTGAACGCCCTTTTGATCTTCTGTATACGGATGTTTGGGGACCTGCCCCTATTTCTTCTATGGATGGGTATCGTTACTATTTGATTATCATTGATCACTTTACTCGCTATACTTGGTATTATCCTTTATGTCGAAAATCCGATGTGCTCCAAGTTTTTCTCGATTTCAGGAAAATGGTTGAGAATTATTTTTCCACTACCATTCGTCGCCTCTACACTGACGGTGGTGGTGAATTTCAAAAACTTCGCACTTATCTTCTTAATCATGGTATAACCCATCTTCTCACTCCTCCCCATACACCAGAGCATAATGGGCTTGCTGAAGGCAAACATCGTCATTTGGTTGAAACCGGTATAACTCTTCTTCATCACGCCAAACTTCCACTCTCTTTTTGGTCTTTTGCCTTCTCCACCGCCATTTATCTTATCAATCGCCTCCCCTCATCTGCCTTACATGGTAAAATTCCTTACACCCTTCTTTCAATTTATCACCCAACTACCGTAAACTCCGTGTTTTTGGTTGTTTATGTTACCCTTGGCTTCGTCCCTATGCACCCCATAAACTTGCTCCGCGTTCTCGTCATTGTCTATTTCTTGGATATTGTCCTCAACGTAGTGCTTACCGTTGTTTTGACTCTGCCTCTCACCGTTTTTTCTACTCTCGCCACGTTATCTTTGTTGAGGATAAATTTCCAGGGTATTGCACTTCCTCTCCTGCTGAGCTTCCTCCACCTGCTGCATGGCTAATGGACTCCTCTCCACCCATCACACTACTTCCGGCCCATACGACATCACCAGCCCCTGGGCCCACTCCATCCCGGCTGCTGCTTCCCCCCAGCATGATCCAGACACGCCTGGGCCGTCCCTCACTGGCCCATCCGACGCTGGCCCATCTGGCCCGTCCAGCCTCTCCACTGCGCCTCACACACCGTCAGCTGGGCTGCCCTCTCTGCCAGGCCCACCACCTCCGCCCGCCCGCTCCCACAGATTGAAGACTCGGGCCCAATCGGGCATTTTTAAGCCCAAAAAGAGGCTTTTTGCCACTGTCTTCACCGGCCCAGCACCTCCTCTCCACCCTCGCTCCGTGCGTGAGGCTCTTGCCTATAAGGAATGGCGCGCATCACTCACTGCTGAAAATAGTGCCCTGCTTGCAAATTGCACTTGGGACTTAGTGCCTCGCCTTCCGCACTACAATGTCCTTGGTAATCGGTGGGTTTTCCGTGTCAAACATCACTCCAACGGTACTATTGAACGGTTCAAAACATGACTCGTGGCCAAAGGTTATCATCAGCGCCCAGGGATTGACTTCGGTGACACGTTTAGTCCGGTGGTTAAACCCGTCACCGTTCGCACCGTGTTTAATATTGCTCTCTCACATAATTGGCCTATTTTGCAGTTTGATGTTAATAATGCTTTTCTGCAAGCCCCATTACAAGAGGAGGTTTATATGTCACAGCCCCCAGGCTTTATTGATCCCGCTCACCCTCATCATGTGTGTCGTATTCGCCGGGCTATATATGGTCTTCGTCAGGCCCCTCGGGCTTGGTACACTGCTTTGACTGACTTCCTTCTTGAGTTTGGCTTCACAAAGACACACTCTGATGCCTCTCTTTTCGTTTACTCTCATGGGCCTCATCTACCTACTTCTTGGTATATGTTGATGATCTGCTTCTTACTGGGAATGACTCCTACACACTTGAATTATTTCAACAGGCTCTCTCCACCCGGTTTTCCCTCAAGGCTCTTGGTTACGTTCATTACTTTCTTGGTATTGAAGTCATTCCTACAGCTACAGGCTATCTACTCTCTCAGCATCAGTATATGGTTGATATTCTCCACCGGTTCCAGCTGACTGATCTCAACCCCGCCGATACACCACTTGCTGCTTCTGTGTCTTTCTCACTTCTTGATAGATCTCCGGCTACGGATGCCACTCGCTTCCGTCAAGTAATTGGGGCTCTTCAGTACTTGGTTTACACTCGTCCCGACATTGCTTACTCTGTCAACAAACTGTCGCAGTTTATGCATGCTCCATCCGCTCATCATTGGTAGTGCCTCAAGCGTCTACTTCGTTATGTCTCTGGCACTCTTTCACATGGTCTCTCCATCTGCCGCACTCTAGGTGCTCTATCTCTCTCTGCCTTCGCGGATGCTGACTGGGCTGGGGATTTGGATGATAGATCGTCTACCTCCGGCTATCTTGTTTATCTCGGTTCTACTCTCGTTTCATGGAGGTCTCAAAAGCAACGCACTGTCGCCAGGTCCAGCACCGAAGCTGAGTATCGCGCTATCGCCCATGCCACTGCGGAGTTAGAATGGATTCAAAATCTTCTTCTTGAGTTGCATCATCCCTCACCATCCTCTCCGACACTCTACTCCGACAACTTGGGTGCCACCTATTTCAGCTCCAATCCAGTGTTCCACTCCCGCATGAATCATCTCGCATTGGAATATCATTTCGTACGTCAATTAGTCCAGGCTGGTCGTCTCCACATCTCCTACATCCCGACTGCTCACCAGCTCGCAGATACCCTTACCAAGCCTCTACCACCCATGCGGTTTTTGCTTCTCAGATCCAAGCTCGGTGTTGTCGATCCGAACACCGTCTTGCGGGGGCGTATTAGCAATACAACATAAAAAAGAATTTATTTCTTTTATTTATTTACTCCACTACATTCTGTTACTACTTCTCTGGAATGTGCCCTGTATTGTTGGCTACAAAGCCTTCCTGTACTTGTATAATTAGTTGTGAAGATCATTAATCAAATCACGTCAGTTTCAACAACAATATTGTTTGGCAATACTCCCTTCACTTCTCCCTAAGTTATTTGATTAATACATAAAATAACTAAATTTATGGATAAAAACAAGGTTGCCTTAAATATTGTTTTCATTTTAGAATATATATGGAACTTGCCACAAACAGATCATATGTTGACTAAACTCGAGCAGTGGATAGAATAGACAAACTCCGCCAATTGCATCCGAGAAGACCATGCCCGCAATATCATCATACTTGCTTGTGGCCACGATTGCTAGCCTTGGCGATCCAATGTCACAGTCCACGACCTACTCTTGGAGAAACAATTACCTTAAATTATTATTGTGTTAAATTAGATCATCTACTGTATTCTCTCTACTTAATTAAAATGGGCCTTTACCCTATGTGACTGACTTGTTCATCAACATTCAAATATCTGCTCACATACGGTTCAATTCAGAAGTCAAATATAATTCCTTCCTTGAACATTACACATTATTGATGTATGTTTCGATAGATCCTCTCCTTCCAGAAGATGTTGATATTGCTCAGATTTTTCGAAAGAGTAATTCTTTTAGCTTTTTTTTAGTTGATATTGCTCATAATTTAATTAATAATAAAGAAATAAAAATAATTAAAATAAGAGAAAAAGGAAGTTTGGTGGGCCAATATGGGACTGCCAAATGGCAGGTTGGAGCCTCTAGCTCCAACGGGGGTTGGACGCAAGAATTTCCCGGGGGAAAATGATGTTTGTTTCTTTTGTTTTTGCTGTCTGTCTACCTATTACTGTCATTATTTTTATTTTTATTATTCCGTCATATTTCGGTTTCTCACGATTCATCCAAACCAGCAAGAGATCGAGCGTAGCAATTAAACCCCGTCCCTCGTCCACGCCATTAAATGCCATTGCAGCTTTCACCCTTTCCCCGTCCCTCTCCGCATTTACTCCTCCTCCCCTTCTTTCCCCCTTTCCCTTTCCTTCTCTCTTCTCCATCTTCTTTTCCTCTCCTCTCATCAGAAAGCTTCCATTTCTGTGTTGCTTCCGTTTTTTTTATACAACCATTAAAGTACTCCTGAAACCTTAAAACCAAAAAGAATAGAGAAAAACCCAAACTACAGGTGAGCAAGAGGGCTGGAAAGGAAACCATGTATCCATCCATCCAAGCAATGGCAGATCCGTAGGTGAAAACTTGGGGTCTCCAAGAACAAGTAGTGAGCATTTGGTTCTTGGTAACCAAACCCCATTACTGTAAGCGAGAGAGGTAAAAGGGAAGACTCTACGAAGAAAGCAGGCAAAGATAAGCCAGATATCAATGCCATAATATAGTTATATGATACACGCAGGTTCTTTCCTTTTTCTTCTTGGGTCAAAAAACAAATGTGCTCTGGTTTATTCTTGTTACTACATTTTTTCGTTGTGAAGAAATAGTCAAGGGTTTCTTAGAGTGAGAGAGAGGGCAAAAGTCAGCTCTCTGTGGTCTACCCTTTTTGCCTATTTTTCCTGCCCCAATAGAATCTTGGAAATACCCAACTCGCTCTCCCTCCCTCCCTCCAGTCCACACAAGAAAAGAGTGCAAATCGTTTCAGTATATAAAGGGTAAGGACAGAAACCCAGACTAAAAAAAAAAGGGGTTACTAAACCCTAGGGTTCCTGGTGTTGGGGGGCGTCCGCAATATGCCCGCCGGAGTAATGATCCCGGCGAGAAACATGCCATCGGCGGCGGCCATACTGAGAAACGGCGGTACAAGTAGCAGTGGCAGCCTTGGTATTGGTGTTGGTGGTGGATTTGGTTCATCTACTCTTCCAATACTAGGCCAGGTTTGATTCTCTCTCTCTCTCTCACCCTTTGCATTTATTATCATCACTAATGCATACCCTCTCCTCTCTCTCTCTATCTTCTCCGGTAATTCTTCCCCTTTTCCCTTTCTTTACAACACCACGAAATCGAAATGTATACACATTCTTCCTCATCCAATAGAGAACTCTTCCCTCACTAAGCCAGAAGTAAAATATACAAGGAACCAGTACCAACCCTTCTTTGATCTCCCTTCCTTCTAAAATTGCATAAACGGGAAGAGGGCCAATTTCCTGATTTCCGGGTTACCCATTTTTTCCATTTTCGGGAAATTAAATATATAATAATATCCTTTTTTTCTCTCTCTCGGTTCACTCAAACCGCGTCCCTCGCCGCCGCTTCTTCACTCCCAATGGCGGAGGAAATCCATGGCCATCATCGGAACACAGTTCCGCTGCAAGATCTGTTCATAGTAAGGGAAGAGTTGCATTCACAGGATTTCGATTTTTTTTTTCAAAATTCCAAACTCACATTCGGAAATAAATATTTTACATTCCCTTCTAATTTTAATTTCTTTTTGAAGATCTGTTGGTGGGTGGATGATGACCAATGTTTTCTTCTTTTGATTTATTAATTAATCATAATGTTTCCAGCCGGGCATGATGGACGGGATGGGAGGGCTTCAGTATCACCACCTCGACATGATGACTCAGCAGCCCACGCCGGAGAGTGACATCCCCGGCGGCGGAGAGTTCGACGTCAGCGGCGGCAGCGACAACCAGCTGGAAGGCGTGGGGTCCGGCGATGATCAAGAGCAGCAGGACCAGCAGCGGCCCAATAAGAAAAAGCGCTACCACCGCCACACCCAGCACCAGATCCAGGAATTGGAAGCGTAAGTTCAATTCTTAGGGTTCGATTTAGCTAATTAAACTTATTTCAATTTGACGGTCGCGAATGAATAGAAGCGAGCTATTTCAATTGGTAGTTTTTTCAAGGAATGTCCACACCCAGACGACAAGCAGAGGAAGGAGCTGAGCAGGGAGTTAGGGTTGGAGCCACTGCAAGTCAAGTTCTGGTTCCAAAACAAGCGCACCCAAATGAAGGTAATTCTTCTATCTTCTTCTTTTTTTTTGTCGTCTTCCGTTGTTCTCGGCATTACAAAGTACTGTTTGACAAATAATAATTCCATTAAGGTAATATAAACACACTTCGCTTTTTTCTAACGTTTGAATTGGGAAACAATCAGCAATTTAATAACGTATGATCTTTTCCCCCTACTCAACTCCATGGGCCGTTACAACATCTCTTTCTTGACCTTGAGTGAATCAATTGCCAACTCCTTTGTCCATACTTGCATGTGAACACATATATATCTTCGGTACGTATAGTTTCGCTACAACGTTCTAACTGAATTTTGATTCGAGAATAGTAAGTTACCCCCAATTTGTTTAGGGTGTGAACCTTTTGATATCTACATTATGACTTTCCAATTGGTAATCCATATTTTTTTCTTTTCTTCTTTTTTCGAATATTGACCGTTGAATTCAAACCTTTTTGTTTTGACTGTATAGACACAACACGAGCGAGTAGAGAACTCCCAACTGAGAGCGGAGAACGACAAGCTGCGAGCGGACAACATGAGGTACAGAGAAGCACTTAGCAACACTTCATGCCCCAACTGCGGCGGGCCTACTGCCATCGGAGAAATGTCCTTCGACGAACACCATTTGAGGCTCGAGAATGCCAGACTCAGAGAGGAGGTATATATACTACACCTGAAAACGATTAACTATGGAATTCTAAGTATCATGATTGCTTTAGTCATCCGGTTTAAAATTGTTTGTCCTTTTGGTTTTTTTGTCACTAGATTGATCGCATATCGAGCATAGCCGCAAAGTACGTGGGGAAGCCAGTGATGAACTACCCGCTCATGTCCTCACCCATGGCGACACGTCAGCTCGAGCTCGGCGTCGGCAACTTTGGAGGTTCACCACCAGTAGACATGTACACGGGCGGAGGAGGAGGAGCGGCTGGGGACTTGCTGAGAGCGATAGGCGCGCCGCCAACGTCGGAAGCCGATAAGCCGATGATCGTCGAGCTGGCGGTTGCGGCCATGGAGGAGATGGTGAGGATGGCTCAGATCGGCGAGCCCTTGTGGATCGTGGACGGCTCGAGTCTGGTGCTGAACGAGGAGGAGTACCACAGGAGTTTCCCTCGCGGGATTGGGCCCAAGCCCAGTGGGTTCAAGTGCGAGGCCTCCAGGGAGACTGCGGTTGTCATCATGAACCACGTCAGCCTCGTTGAGTATCTCATGGACGTGGTAAGCAAGCTCTGATTAAAACGTATATTATTATCCATTTTTCAATTATTATGATTTTCTCATTAATTGGATTTTTTTTTATTAATTCAATTGCAGAGTCAATGGTCGGGTTTGTTCTCTGGAATAATCTCAAGGGCGATGACATTGGAAGTGTTGTCCACCGGAGTTGCAGGGAACTACGACGGCGCACTGCAAGTGGTAATGCGTTAGTTTTAATTCCAATTATTTAACGTAAAAATAATTAAGTTATTAGTTAATTATGAATTTATGATTGTAATAAATAAATAAATAAAAAAACTCCGCAGATGACGGCTGAATTTCAACTCCCAACTCCACTGGTCCCAACCCGTGAGAGCTACTTCGCCAGATACTGTAAGCAGCACGCCGACGGGACGTGGGCGGTGGTCGACGTTTCCTTGGACGACCTACGGCCGAGCCCGGTGGCCGACCGGTGCCGGAGAAGGCCCTCGGGTTGTTTGATCCAAGAAATGCCCAATGGTTACTCCAAGGTAATTAATATTTGAACGACTTCTTTCACTTTCTCGTGCCTTAGAACCTTGTAAAGAGTCATTTCGCTATACATTTTATCCACAGGTGACGTGGGTTGAGCACGTGGAAGTGGACAACAGGGGAGTTCACGATCTATACCAACAGGTAGTGGACTCCGGCCACGCTTTCGGGGCAAAACGGTGGGTGGTAACCCTAGACCGGCAGTGCGAGCGGCTCGCCAGCGCCATGGCGACCAACATCCCAACCAATGACGTCGGCGGTATATAAAAAGATGACCTCTTACTGCCCTATCTGCCTAGTCATTTAGTTTAACTTGAAAAAAAAAAGTTACTTATTTAAGTAAATTACGGCCGGCAGTGATAACGAATCAAGAAGGGAGGAAGAGCATGATGAAGCTGGCGGAGAGGATGGTGGTGAGCTTCTGCGCCGGCGTTAGCGCCTCCACTGCTCACACGTGGACGACACTGTCCGGAACCGGAGCCGACGACGTCCGAGTCATGACCCGGAAGAGCGTCGACGATCCCGGGAGGCCGCCGGGGATCGTCCTCAGCGCCGCCACTTCTTTCTGGCTCCCTGTCCCTCCCAAAAGGGTTTTTGACTTTCTTCGCGACGAAAACTCTCGTAGCGAGGTATATATATCGTTTGACAAATGGTCACTTATTAGTTCACTTAGTGGATGACTATATATATTCACCTTAACGTTTCAAAATTGTTAATTCACATGCAGTGGGACATTCTGTCGAACGGTGGTATTGTACAAGAAATGGCTCACATTGCTAACGGCCGTGACACCGGCAATTGCGTCTCCCTTCTTCGTGTCAACGTAAGTCTCTACACATGAAGGAACCTTTCTTCTTCTCGTTTTTCACTCTTAATTAGGGTTTGATAATCTTCGATTTGGGTTTTGTTGGAATGGTATCAGAATGCGAATTCGAGCCAGGGGAACATGTTGATACTGCAAGAGAGCTGCACGGACCCAACGGCGTCGTTTGTGATCTACGCGCCGGTGGACATAGTGGCGATGAACGTGGTACTCAACGGCGGGGATCCGGATTACGTGGCTCTGCTCCCGTCAGGGTTTGCCATTCTGCCTGACGGTGGCGCGGGGGCAGGAGAATCCGGCGTGGCTGCTGGTGGAGGGTCTCTGCTGACTGTGGCGTTTCAGATATTGGTGGATTCCGTTCCGACGGCGAAGCTTTCTCTTGGTTCGGTTGCTACCGTGAACAATCTCATTGCTTGCACCGTCGAGAGGATCAAGGCTGCTTTGTCTTGCGACAATGCTGCGGCCTGAGCTGATATTTTCAAGGTAATTGTGGCTTTCGATGGCAAAATTTTCACAAGGAAGAGAATTGGATGGGAAAGGAGAAGTCAAGAGCGCACCTTTAACATGATCCTCTATAATTGTGTTCATGGGAAATTTTGCCTAAGGAGCCACAAGAATTGGCAAAATTTCCCATGAGCGCTAGTTTATAACAGGGTTAGAGGTTCGGGAATTGACTTCCAAGGAAGAAGATTTGATTTGTTGTTTCTAGAGAAGCTTGATTTATGTATTAAGTAAATCTAAGATGGAAACTCCCTAGTCCTCTCTTTCTCTCTTCGTTGTAGTTCACCTTCCAAATTTTAATCATAACAATGTAGTTTTCAGTGTTCTGATGGAAAGCAGTATGTGTAGTACGAGTAGTATTATGTTATACTACGAGTACTGTTATGTAATTGAGCAGTGTTATATTCCTAATCAGAGTCGTAGAAGTTAGGTAATTACCGTATTAGTGTTAGGGTTATTATAGAAGTCAGTCTCTGTACTCTATATAAACCCTTTGTGGTATCAGTAATAATGCACAACAGTTAGGTAATTACCGTATTAGTATTAGGGTTTATATAGAGTACAGAGACTGACTTCTATAATAACCCTAACACTAATACGGTAATTACCTAACTTCTACGACTCTGATTAGGAATATAACACTGCTCAATTACATAACAGTACTCGTAGTATAACATAATACTACTCGTACTACACATACTCTAATAAGCAGGACTATGAGGGTCAGGGTTTTGTTCGTTCTTCGTTTACCAAACATACTAATCCGGCGGCGGGATACTAATTCTTAATTCAATTTTTATTTATCAAATAAAATTTAAAACAATCTAATATTAAAAATAAAATTGGGTTAATACCCTAGTTTGACCTGAAGTTTGACATAAGTGACAGTTTTGGTCTGAAATTTACAATAAGACAGATATGGTCAACATTTCATATTAATGAACAGATTTCACCCGAGATTTATGTTAACTGTTCATATTAACGGTCAAAACATTTATTATGTCAGTGACTCAGCATTTGGTGGTGAGGTGGCAGTGATGTGGCTTGCATTCATTTATTTATGCTAAAATATCTCAAAAAATTCAAATAATAACTTCCCCACTTGCACCCTCTTCTTCTTCTCCCCTCCTACACCGCCATTCTTTTCCCTCTCTAGTCCAATTCCTCATATTCTTTGATTAAATGAAACAGAAGGTTAAAGTCCGTCACCAGCAGCAGCGGCGGCGGCAGAGGCAAGGGAGAGGCTTCTGTTTCGAGTTCAGGGAGGAGGAGAATTCAGTTGGAGAAGATCCACACGCTGGTCTCGGAATCTACCACAACGATAGTTGTCTAGCTAGTTAAGCTCTCTTACCTCGTCCACTAGTATCTCTCTCGATCTTTCTACCTTCTCGAAGCTATAATTGTCGTGGCAAAACTGGAGGAAAGGATGCAGTGGTGCCTCTAGTGTTCTTCTCTAATCTCCAGCTCACTGTTAGTCTCCCACACCTCGGATTCATGTTGCAGCTATCCACTCTTGCTCATCGATCTCTCGCTATAAAGTGAATGAGTGATAGCCTTCCGCAATTGTTGTTGGAGGATCTTCGAATGAATCAAAACAAAGAACACAAGTCCCTCGAAGTCTCCACCTCTTCTTGCTCGATCACTGGATCCCTCCAATTAAGTCTTGTAGACCTTCGAGGTGCTGCATATTGTGGCTCCGCTTGAGGTGGACTAGGATGTCGTGGTCCCGATGAAGAAGCGACATCATCCCCCTTCTTCTTATGCATCTTTAACCATTCGTGCATTCAATTCGTGCTCAAATGAAACCAAAATAACATACATAATAGGGGAGAATAACCCTACACTTTAAGAGTGTGGCTTATTCTATAAGCTATTCATATAACTTCTCAAAGCACGTATAAGAAAGATTGTAACTCATGCAACTACATATGTCATTTAAGAACATGCAAAGGTATTCAAGCTCAAAATGTAGCAGTAGCATGAACTAACTATCTTGATAATGTGAAAACTTTAAAAGCTCCAAGTTATATGATTAGGCAAAGGTCGATTGATAAGTTTGCACAACTAAAATGGCATGACAATGGATCCAATTTAGTAATGAAATTTGAAATTAACATTGCCCTACTCCCATTGAAATCTCAAAATTTCAAAACTCATACCAATGATGATGTGATCTTGGATCGTGGCCCAAAGCCATTCCCATTGATGTTCAAAGAAGAAATGAAGTCAAGGGAAGAAGAATCTGGAAATTTGGCCAAAGTTTGGGAAGCAGTCTGTGGTGCCTATTTTGGGAGCTTACTCGTTTTGTTTGGGAGATATTCGAGAAGCTAGGTGTTGGGAATGAGAGTAAAAGTCTTGCTCAAGATCGTGAAGGCGTTGGATTAGAAGATTGAAGCTTCCTGAACACCAAAAAAGCAGCCTAAAGATCGTATGGTGATCAGAAGAAAAAAAACCCTATCAAGTGGGTTTTTATTCATCCCACCTTTAAGCCACAGCCGTATCCCAGAGAGAGAGAGAGAGAGAGAGAGAGAGAGAGAGAGAGAGAGAGAGAGAGAGAGAGAGAGAGAGAGAGAAGTGGTTGAGTTGGAACGGATTGAATCAAGCTATCATGATCCTTTTGTTTTGATTATGATCAAGAATTTAGATGTATGAGTCGTCATGCTTTGAGATCAAAGCTTTTTCAAAAGGGAGTGACTGATGTGATCCTGGATCGTGGCCCGAAACCATTCCCATTGATGTTTAACGAAGAAACATGGTAAAGGGAAAAAGAAGATTGAAATTTGGCTATGTGTGGGAAACAGTCTATGGTACCTACTTTGGGAGCTTACTCGTTTTATTTGGGAGACATTCGATGGGAGCTAGATGTTGGGAATGAGAGTACATGTCTTGCTAAAGATCGTGAAGGCATTGGATGAGAAGATTGAAGCTTCCTGGACACCAAACAAGCAGCCTAAAGATCGTATGGTGATCAGGAAAAATACCCTGTCAGGTGGGTTAAAATCCCCTATAGGAGATATGAGCTTCGAGATAGGGCATTTGGATCAGAAGGACCCCCGGTTAGGAGGGTTGAAATTCCTGATAGGGTATTTTGGGCTGACGAGTTTTAGTTACTTTTTTGGCTTAATTGCAAGTTTGGTCACTCGAATTGCTATGAAATTTCACATTTGCCACTCGAATTAATTTATTCCATTTATAGTCACTCGAATTAGTTGAACAGTCCAAGTTCGGTCACTCTCTGTTAACCTCTGTTAGACTCCGTTAATGACGACTGTTAAGTGATGACGTGGCTAACAGAAAATCATAGTCATCATAATTTAACACTAAAAAACGACGACCCGACCTGCCACGTCATATTTACACGCCATGTCAGCCCTTCTTGCCCAACCCGCGAACCAACCCAATTAATTGACCCAAACCCAAACCCGAGTCCCAACCCCCCTAAAAATAAATCACCATCGTCGAGAAAACAATCACCGCGATTATCCCCACCACTGCAGCATTCCACATCCCCTTCTTCCCTCCTAATCTTAAGCACACCTCCATCGGCGGACCACACAACCCCTCCGGAGAACGTCTCGGGAATTCGCCCTCGAAGGTCGTTGTTCAACAGGTTCAGCCTGTGGAGGCTGGTGAGCTTGGCGAGGGAGCTGGGGTATCTTCCCCTGGAGATGGTTTCACGAAAAATTCAGCCTCTCCAGCTTAATTAGGTTTCCGAGGGAGGTTGGAATTTCGAAGGGGTTTAGGCGTTTGAGGGCGAGGGGGAGGGTTTCTTCAAGGAGGAGTTTGTGGTAGTTTGCGTTAAAGCTGGAAGCCAGAAGCGGGAGCTCTTGGTGGAGGGAGGAAAGGAGCGATTTGGGTTGGATTTTGGGGGAGAAGACCACGGGGCCTTTGAGGATTGGGGTGCGGTTGATGTAGCAGAAGAGGAAGTGGAGCAGGGATACGAGGAGAAACGCGGAGGCTAGGCCGGTGGCGATCAAGAGGGAGATTGACTCGACTCTACTGTCACTCCAGGAATTGGCCAAGTGAAACCACTTCCTAAAGCGTAGTATAGCGGGTTAGGTTTATATGTCAACCCGGGTCCTAGATTTGATGACTACTCAGTGAATTCTTGTTATCTAGCAATGAAACTGGAATGCAAGTCTAACTAACAAACTAACAAAGCAAGTAAACTGGTTGTATTCAGGTTAAAGAGGTCACCCGGATATGGTTCCCCCTAGACTGCAGTTAAGCCGGATTGTAATTACCAAGTTCAGTTTCTATGACAGTTATACTGCGGAAGGTTCTTAAACAGCCTGAAGTCTCGACTAAAGGTCTTCAGACCCTCTCAATCTGACTCTCTAGCGGGCGACTAACCTCCACCGGAGTCGACAGATTGAGGCCCTAAGAACAAAACCTCCACTACCGGAGTAAATCCGGTACAGAATAGTGAGTTGGCTCCTCGACTAAAGTCACCAACTCCCTACCTTCAATCAAGGATACTCTATTAACCTAGGCAGATATTCTCATTCTAGGTTAAAGCAGAAACAACAGGAATTTGATCAGGATTCAAGTCATTCAATCATCAAAACCTCAATCGAATATAATCAATCACAGAATCAGTACTTGGGTTCATACAATCAAAGCCTAACATACAAATCTAGGGTTCTCCATACCCAGATGAATGGGAGAACTACTCCATAGAGAAGAAAGCAAAAGCAGAATCAGACACGGAATTCATACTGCGAAGGATGGATTCCTGCTTCTGGACGTTGATTGGCACTTCTCCAAGCTCAAGCTGGCCTCCAATGGTGTTGAAGATCAATCTAGGGCACTTGGGAACTCTTGCTCGTCACTTTCTCTCTCTAGGAACTGATCTCTCTCTCCAAAACTCGAATCCCCCTTCTTTGGTTCGGAATTTGGCTTAAAACCAGGAAATCCCGACTCGCACGGCCAGGGTGCACGGCCGTGCATATCACCATTCTGGCCGTGCACCTCAAAACGCGGCGTATCAATTAGTTGAACCTCAGCCAACTCGCACGGCCAGAATTGTATGTTGCACGGCCGTGCGTGGCCACGCACAATCCCGTGCGTGCCCACGCACTATCCCGCACGGCCAAACTGGTCACTTGCACGGCCGTGCGTGGCCACGCACAATCCCGTGCGTGCCCACGCACGATCCCGCACGGCCAAACTGGTCACTTGCGCGGCCGTGCGGGTTGTGGGTGTGCCCGTGCGACTTCCTCAGAACCTCGCCATGCGTCCGATCCTCGTCCAATCGACCCCAGACTCGCTCCTAAGCCTTCATTCACGTCCTAGGACCTGAAATATCACAAACAAGCACAACCTACCGTGAAATCGGCCTAAAACACGAGAATCAACACCTCAAACGGTGTAAGAATGGGGGTAAAAACATGTGTAAATGACGGTCTATCAAACTCTCCCACACTTAACCGTTTGCTTGTCCCCAAGCAAACCTAACTCAAACCAATGCAACTCTCCAGACCTCTATAGCAACAAACACCCCAGATCGTAGGTAGAGGACTTCCTAGATCATTTAGCAACTTACGAGGTCAACCGAAACACAAGTCATCTCATAGCTTCTTCGGCGAGAGCACTAGTATCGAGTCGGCATCATGGCAAATAGTGAACAGAGGACAAATGAATTGTGGATGAAGAGATTCTCAAAAACAAAAGATCATGGACTCACATTTTTCAAGGTGCTCTATTTTCTTCTTGAAGATGGTTGAGACCCCTTTTTTTTCCTGTTTTGCTTGTTTTCTGATATTTTTCTTTTCTTTTCTTTTTCAAGGGTCCCAACCTGCTCTTACCGGCCATGCCAGGAGCGGATGTCTCGAGCCTCGTGTGGGGGAAAGACATGTAAGGGGGCTGGAGGTAGTAGGTGGGAATTGGGAACGAATTCCCGTCTCCCCTTACACACTTTCGCCCTATTCGCACGGGAGACGTTTATTTTGAAGCACATTTTCGAGCACCTGCTATTTTCAAAACATGATACAAGAGTCCATGACAGGTAGAAATCCACAACACCACACAATTCAAGGGTCCTAAGATCACTAATTCACTCAATCAACCAACACAATATGAAGAAGAAATGAGACTCCTTAAATGCATCAACATCCTCCATAGTGCTACACTACCTCCCTAGGTTGCATATCACTATAAAGACTGTCAATTCAAAGCATACTGAGCAGGCAATTGCAAGGAAACACGTACTTGGAGCCCTCAAATTTTAAAAATTTGGACAGTGGACTAGGCTCCAAGCACACAAACAGATCTAATGCAGTCGAAAGATAAACATCCCCCCACACTTAAGCTCGACATTGCGCTCAATGGAGAAGAGGGAAGGATAAGGGGAACGATGTTACCGATAGGCACGGACTGCAGGGGACTGGAAATGGGCCAGTCGGGGCAAGCACAGCCAAAGGGGAACAGAAGAGCTCAAACACAGTATGTTAGGTTCAATGGTCAGCCCAATAAAATATCATCCAAACCAAAAGAAAAACAAACCAAACCCCAAACCGGGTTACAATCCGACTCAAAACAAAAGAAAGAAAGTCAAACCGTGGTGGGGTTGCCTCCCCACAAGCGCTTCTTTACCGTCGTATTAGCTGGACGCCCATGGTGGATACTCAGGGCGGTGCAGGAACAGGTGCCTCCAAGAGCGGATCCACGTCGCTCTTGAGGTACAGCTTCAGGTTGTGGTCATGCACCCGACGGATGCCACCACCCTCATCAGTCAGCTCGACCTGCCCGTCTGGCAAGATGCAGGCGAGTGAGTACCCAGACGGCCAGGGTGGTCGTGGTGCAGGAGGTGGGACCAGCTCATAGTGGTCTCCACTCTTCTTACGTGCAAGCTTAGCAACCTGCGGCTTCGGCCGCCACTCCTCCTTGAGCTTTTTGTTTGGAGGCGAGGCTGGATGGAGTGGCGGCGAAGGAATGATAGGAGGGTCCTGCAAAATAGGAGGTGCAGAAGGGTACACGACAGGCTCGTGTATCTGATCAGACATAACATGCACAGGCGTGACATCAATCATAGCACAGTGATCAAACTCAGTCACAGAAAAAGTAGCCTGTTCATTCCCAGAACGCAAGATCAATTTACCATCATGCACATCAATAAGTGCCTTGGCGGTGGCAAGAAATGGCCTACCTAGAATCAAAGGCACATCCGCATCCTCATGCACATCAAGAATAACGAAATCAACAGGATATGTGAATGCACCGACATTGACAAGCAAATCCTCTATGATTCCCCTAGGATGCACGATAGAACGATCAGCCAGCTGAATGCTCATCCTAGTAGGGCTAAGTTCACCTAGGTCTAGCTTTTTAAACAACTTATATGGCATGACATTTATGCTAGCACCTAGGTCCGCCAAGGACTTGCCTACATGCATGCTGCCAATAGTAAGAGGGATAGTAAAACTCCCTGGATCCTTGCGCTTCTCGGGCAGCTTGTTCTGCAGGATAGCAGAACACTCCTCGCTCAGCATCACTGTCGAGAGATCCCCAAGTTTCTTCTTGTTGGTGCAGAGATCTTTCATGAACTTGGCATACTTGGGCATCTTCGACAGTGCCTCCATGAACGGTATGCTGATGTTGAGCTGCTTCAACATTGCCATGAACTTGGCAAACTCAGTCTCCAGCTTGTCCTTGTGTAGGCGAGTGGGGAAGGGAAGCTGGGGTACATGCTCCTTAACCATTGGTTGTGGCTTGGGAGCAGGGGCTTCCTTCTCCACCCGCACTTCTGCATCGTCGGCTGGAAGTGCTGAAGCCGGTAGTGGTTCCTCCTGTCTGGCCGGGACAGGATCAGCAGATATGGTCTTACCGCTCCTGGTAAAAATGGCATCCAGCTGCTGATGCTGGTGAGGATCTCGAGGATTAGGAACAGTGGTGGCAGGCAAAGTCCCTGGTGCCCTGGTGGTGTTCTGGCGGGCCAAGATGCCCACCTGGGTCTGCAGATCCTGCAAAATAGCACCCTGGTTCCGCTGACCTGCCTCCAGTGATGTGATAGCAGCCTGGGTGCTAGTCATGAATGAAGCTAGAATGTTTTCCAGCTTCGTCATCCTGTCATCTGGGGCTGGAGCTGCTGCTGGCTCAGCAAACTGGCGCTGGGGCTGCTGGAATGGCTGGCCCTGCCTAGGCTGGTAGGGCTGCTGCTGTGGGTCTGGCCCCTGGCGAGCCTGGAAGGGCTGCCTCTGCTGAAAACCACCTGCTGGTGCTGGGAAACCAGGTGGTTTAGTGGTGTTGCTGCTCCAGGCGAAGTTGGGATGCTGGCGCCACCCCTCATTATATGTGCTGCTGTATGGATCGAGGCGCCTCGCATTGGCGATGAAGGCCAACTGCTCCTGGGGTGTGGTAGACTCCCTCATAGCCTGGCAGTCCTCCACTAGGTGATTGGAGCTCTCACACCACTGACATTGAGCTACTGGAGGTGTAGCCAAACCTCTGCCCGGAATCAGACTGTTGGGCTGCTTCAATGTCTGCACTAGCTCAGCTACCTGCTGCTCGAGCCCGGATCTGGTCTCCATGGCGTGCACACCACGGTCTCGGGACTGTCTGCCTCGGCTACCCTGTCCCCAAGAATGATCTCTGGCAGCCAAAGTACTGATCATCTGGTTCAGCTCGGGTGGAGTCTTGGTAAGAATATCCCCTCCTGGGCATAGAGACTCAATCACCCTCTGGCTATCTGGCGAAAGGGCACTGTAGAAGTTCCCCACTGTGAATGCATCACTGAAGCCATGATGGGGGCACTGCCAGAAATAGCCCATATACCGCTCCCAAGCATCACGAAGTGACTCATCTGGCTCCTGGCGGAAGTGGGTGATCTCCCGCTGAATCTCTGTAGTCTTCGATGCCGGATAGTACCTGTGCACGAACTTGTCAGCCAGATCGTCCCAAGAGGTGATGGACAATGGGGGCTGGGTCTCCAACCACCTCTTAGCATTCCCCGCCAGAGAATGGGGGAAGAGATGAAGGCGGATCGCATCATCCGGGACACCATTCAGCTTGAACCCGTTTGTCAGCTGCAGAAAACGGGAAAGATGCACCCTGGCCTCCTCATTCTTCAAGCCATGGAACTGGATAGAAGATGTAATGAGCTGAATCCAGCATGGCTTGATCTCAAAGTTGTTTGCTGGGATCGGCGGGTAGAGGATGACCGGGCGGATGTCAGCAATCCGCGGAGTGTAGTAGTACTCCAGGGTGGGACCCGGCTGCGGTGGATGATGAGCTCCATGATCCTGGGGTATGGGGTTGTTCCCCAGGACCTGATTCACCGGGGGAACCTGCTGTGGATTCCCCTGGTGCTGATTGTAGTCTCCGTCCATTCCGTGCTCTTCTTCAGAATCGCTGCTCAGGTGGCCGTCTATGCGCTCTTCCGTAGCCAGTCTAGCTCGCTGTTGTCTCCTGAGCTGGCGACAGGTGCGGTCAATCTCTGGATTCAACGGCAGTAAACCTCCCGACTGGCTACGGGTCATGCACTACCTGCACACACTCAAGCAACAAACCCGTGAAGGCACAAGTGGGACAAAGAAAACAAAGCAAAAAGAAAAGCTAAATTAACAGAAATCACTTTTCTTCAACAACCTAGCCGTTCCCCGGCAACGGCGCCAAAAACTTGACTCGACTCTACTGTCACTCCAGGAATTGGCCAAGTGAAACCACTTCCTAAAGCGTAGTATAGCGGGTTAGGTTTATATGTCAACCCGGGTCCTAGATTTGATGACTACTCAGTGAATTCTTGTTATCTAGCAATGAAACTGGAATGCAAGTCTAACTAACAAACTAACAAAGCAAGTAAACTGGTTGTATTCAGGTTAAAGAGGTCACCCGGATATGGTTCCCCCTAGACTGCAGTTAAGCCGGATTGTAATTACCAAGTTCAGTTTCTATGACAGTTATACTGCGGAAGGTTCTTAAACAGCCTGAAGTCTCGACTAAAGGTCTTCAGACCCTCTCAATCTGACTCTCTAGCGGGCGACTAACCTCCACCGGAGTCGACAGATTGAGGCCCTAAGAACAAAACCTCCACTACCGGAGTAAATCCGGTACAGAATAGTGAGTTGGCTCCTCGACTAAAGTCACCAACTCCCTACCTTCAATCAAGGATACTCTATTAACCTAGGCAGATATTCTCATTCTAGGTTAAAGCAGAAACAACAGGAATTTGATCAGGATCCAAGTCATTCAATCATCAAAACCTCAATCGAATATAATCAATCACAGAATCAGTACTTGGGTTCATACAATCAAAGCCTAACATACAAATCTAGGGTTCTCCATACCCAGATGAATGGGAGAACTACTCCATAGAGAAGAAAGCAAAAGCAGAATCAGACACGGAATTCATACTGCGAAGGATGGATTCCTGCTTCTGGACGTTGATTGGCACTTCTCCAAGCTCAAGCTGGCCTCCAATGGTGTTGAAGATCAATCTAGGGCACTTGGGAACTCTTGCTCGTCACTTTCTCTCTCTAGGAACTGATCTCTCTCTCCAAAACTCGAATCCCCCTTCTTTGGTTCGGAATTTGGCTTAAAACCAGGAAATCCCGACTCGCACGGCCAGGGTGCACGGCCGTGCATATCACCATTCTGGCCGTGCACCTCAAAACGCGGCGTATCAATTAGTTGAACCTCAGCCAACTCGCACGGCCAGAATTGTATGTTGCACGGCCGTGCGTGGCCACGCACAATCCCGTGCGTGCCCACGCACTATCCCGCACGGCCAAACTGGTCACTTGCACGGCCGTGCGTGGCCACGCACAATCCCGTGCGTGCCCACGCACGATCCCGCACGGCCAAACTGGTCACTTGCGCGGCCGTGCGGGTTGTGGGTGTGCCCGTGCGACTTCCTCAGAACCTCGCCATGCGTCCGATCCTCGTCCAATCGACCCCAGACTCGCTCCTAAGCCTTCATTCACGTCCTAGGACCTGAAATATCACAAACAAGCACAACCTACCGTGAAATCGGCCTAAAACACGAGAATCAACACCTCAAACGGTGTAAGAATAAGGGTAAAAACATGTGTAAATGACGGTCTATCAGAGATGCTGATGAGGATTTGCCGGAAGTAGTAGTTGTTGGTGGTGTGGTGGCGGTGGGAGGGCTGTTGGGGTTGGGTGGTGGATGCGGTGGTGATGAGTAGAAAGAGAGGTAAGAGCAGAGAGATTGGAGAATGGTGAGGCTAATCCATTCGGAGAAGAGGAAGGGAAAAAAGAATTACTCACTCACTCGGGAATTACTACATTAGCGGTATGATAATGTGACTACTTGAGTTTAGGGAATCGAATTCCAAAACAGCTTGAGAGGGAAGATTGGGAGGAAGGTAAAGGAAGAATCAACGCTAGGGATCTGGGTCCGAAAATGGAGTTCTGGGTGAGGCAGCGACAGTTCCGGCAAAGCAAGAGGCGGAGGTGGCGGGAGATGAGGAAGTTGGCGTTGTCAACTCTAGCGTCGCAACGGAAGCAGAGGAAAGCGTCGTCGGAGTTGCAGTAAACGTCCGGCGCTCCTACCCTTTCCGTTTCGATTTATTTTTCAGGGGGTGGTGTCTCGGGTTTGGGTTTGGGTCAATTAATTGGGTTGGTTCGCGGATTGGGCAAGAAGGACTGACATGGCTGGTAAGTATGACGTGGCGGGTCGCGTCGTCATTTTTTAGTGTTAAATTATGCTGACTGTGATTTTCTGTTAGCCACGTCATCACTTAATGGTCGTCATTAACGGAGTCTAACGGAAGTTAATGGAGAGTGACTGAACTTGGACTGTTTAATTAATTCGAGTGACTATAAATGGTAAATTAATTCGAGTGGCAAACATGAAATTTTATAGCGATTCGAGCGACCAAACTTTCAATTAAGCCGTTACTTTTTTGTTTAGTAGTCTTTTTCCTTTTCTGCACTTTCATTAGTTTTATTTTATAGACCTATTTAATTCTTGTGAACTCTATTTTGAGGGAGAATATGTTGAATAGAATAAAAACCTTTTCAGTTCATTGAGTTTTTTTTACTCGTGAATTTTATTTCTTGTTTGTTGGTCGATCTCCAGCATTCGAGCTAGCTTTGTATCACTCAGGTATTCCCCTTAAGGGTGGTCGAGTTGCTACCCTTATATTGTTCGAGCCTTCGCCCGATTTCGTGTTGAGATTGCACAACAATTCCGCCCTATCCTTTATTTTTCGAGTTGTTGAGAGAAAATTCAGCAAACGCTAAAAAGATCGAAACTGCGTGACTTTGCCAAAAGAACCTAATATTTCAAGAGCTCGTGATCTTATCAAATAAATTTGAAACTTGGCGCATCTTGACGCTTAAAGCTCAATTCAAAAGATGTTATGCGAGATATTTGAAAATTTTGGCATGAACTTTACTAAATTCATCAATCCATCCAAGCATTCAATCGATTAAAATCATCATAAGCACCATGCAGCCTCATTTCTAAGCATACAATCTATCATCATTCATTTATAAACGTCGATTGTGCCTAGCGTAGGCCAAAAATTTACAAGAGAAGTCCCTACATTTATCAAGCAATTTTAAACTTTAAATCCTCAATGATTCAACCTCCTAAATTAATCTAATGATCATAGGTACTTAGATTGATGAGAACTGCATAAAAATTGAAGAAAATTCGAGGAACAAAGAGAGAAAAAGAGCGGCAGTGTCGCAGCGGCTCAAGCCGTCGAGGCTTTTCCGGTGAGGTTTTCAAAAGGTTGTTGGTTAGGATTTGTTTTTTTTTTTTATGATGGGTAGGTGGTATCTCGAATTTGAGGGTGATTTTTTTTTTGTTTTGGAGGTGGAATTGGTGATTGAAAGTTGAAGATTTTGGGAGAAAATTTGAAACATAGAGAGAAGGGAGAGGATTCTTTTTCTAAGAGAGAGGAAGGGAAGTGAAAAATGAGGGGTTGTGGGGTGATTGTGCCCGAAATGGTCATTTTTGTAGGACCTAGGCAGCAGCGATAGTACGGCGGGTGTGCCCGCTACAGCTTCCCGTTGCGTTCTGCGTTATTTCCAGCATTTTTGAGTTAGAACACCTTGCCTCGTTAGTACAAAAATTGATTTTGTATATTTTCACATCATCAAATCCTTCTTTCTCGTCATATGTTCAAAATTTGTTCCAAATGGAACACTTAACCAATAAGTAACTCAAATTTCAAGCCGATAACAAACTTTGAAATTTAAAAATTAGTCTAGGAAAGGGAAATCTGGATTGTCTCTGTTTGATGCCATACATGAGCTACCTTCCATGAAGAGCTCTCTCTTTATGCCTTTGATCTAGGCTCAGCAAGGCTCCATTTTAGTTGATTTGACGATCAACCTTTTCTTCATCTTCATCTCACCATCCCATTTCAAGGATTTGGTCGTTATTATGTTGATAATGATTGATGAAATCTTGATACTCTTCTGATATCTCATATTGCAGCTCCTCAATCTTTTATAGCTTCATCTTTTGCCTTATACTGGCTATCCTTATTGCCATTTGAGCTAGCTTTAGACCAGGAATTGGTGGAGCCTTCTTCAACTCGCCTGCACACTTTGGGTCTTGATCAGGATGATGAACTACTATGTTTTCTGAATCATCGAATAGAGAACCAAATCAAAATTTGATCTCATCATTTGGATCCTCCTTCAGCTACTCCTCGACTTCATCACTTCTTTTGATTGGCTTCTACACTTTGTATTGAAGCTTTCTCACATGTAAGGTTACTTCTTCATTGACAGCATCAATTCTTGTTCCAGCAGCGACAAAGAATGGTCTTCCAAAGAGGACTGGATACTCCTTGCTGGTCTCCGTTTCAATTACGAGGTATTCGGGGAAGAAAACGAATGGACCAACTTGGTTGCTTAAACCTGGAACAACTCCAAGAGCTCTGCACGAAGTGTTGTTGGCTAGCATGATCTCTATGTTGACGTACTCCATGTTAGTTAGTACCATCTCTTCATATTTATGCAGTGGTAGCATGTTGACACTTCACCCAAGTTCAACTATACCTTTATTCCACGTGATGGTCATCCAAGAGACATTTGATGATACTATCCCGAGGATCCTCCTTTGCTTCATTGACTAGGACTAATTCTTTGTAACCATAAGGGGTTTTCTTGATCATGGTCTCCTTATCTTCGATCATGTCATCTTCCTCCATGAAAATCTAGAGCTTTAGTTTAATATCTTCAATGGAAATCATCTTCTCCAATATTGGCACTGCCACTTCTACTCCTCCAAAAGCTTCTGTTAGATTCCTGAAGAGAGATGGACACTCAGCTCCTTTCTTCTCTTCTACCTTTTTCATGCTTGGGAAAATTTTGGCTGCTCACATTCTTGTCGAGATGACTTTGACTTCCTCCTTCTTTGGATTATTTTATGTCTTGTTTGGGAGGTTGCTTTAAGACTTGTGAGGTTGAGCATCGATGAGGAGTGAAAGTTGTCTTTCGATGTTCTTGTAGCGCGTTTGCAGTCGTATTACTGTTGCCTCCAGCTTCTCGAATC